TTTTTTGTTTCAACAAATCAACAGAAATAACATTTAACAGAAACATTATCATTCCTTCTATTGCTACCGTTTTTTTTTTCTTTCATTAAAGTGATTATAAACAACACAATACTATAATAAATCAATACCTACATTACAACACGAAATAATCACTCATTGGTATTAAAATGTAGTTACAACACGATAAGAACATAGCTATTTGGTGTTTGGAGTTTTACCGGTTTACCTCAAAATTAATATAAAAATGGAAATTTTAAACTATCAAAATCGTTCATAATTATAATATTGCTCGTAGTATTAACAAATATCTTATTCTTCATAAAATACTTTGAAAAAACAAAACTTAAATTTCCACATAACAATTTTACAATCGGCTTGTTTATACATGTTAGACATCGATTTGATTATATTATTTGCACTATTTGAAAAACAGAGAAAATTGAAAAAATCCCCAACGATGTGATTATGATAATTGAAATGGTATATCAGCTATCCAGAAGTAATATATATATATAATATATAATAACCTGTTTAAAAAAAATCAAACACAAATTTTCACACTAAATTCTTATTTTAGAATATAGCTGGAATAACATCACGTACAGTTTATTTAGTGCAATTTGGACTAAGGAAGTAAAACACAAAGTTGAAAAATGAACGAGCAAAGCGAAAGAGTGTTGAAATGTATAGAAACAGTAATTTTCATATTTTCCTTTTAATACTTAATGAGTTTCTTTGCGAAATAATACATAATCATGTTCCCGAAATTCGAATTAGTACATAAACAAGTATGGATTCTGTGATATTTCTTGTGTTTACTTAACTTACTTGAGACACATAATATCTTCAGAAATATGCAGAAATCAATCATTTAATTATTTATTTATAACCATAATCATTTAATTTAATAATTGATTAAATGTGTACAAAATATACATGAAAAATATGAAAAAACTAGTGGTTTTTAATTTTCTTTTGTGTTGAAATTCTGTTAAATATTTAGTTACTTTTTCAAATGACAATCTGATTTAAGAATCACAACTACTTAAACAAAATTCAGTTTATATGAAACACAATAATCACCTTTTTCTAGCATTTTATACCAGTTATTAATTTTCTAAAAGCAAATTGTTTAAACGAAAAACGCCTGGTTCCATGTTTTTAGTCACCCTGTATGTAAATGTTATCAAAAATATTTCTCATTACTAAACAAATAAAGAACAAAGAAATTCCAAGAACCACTAATGATGTCCACGAAAGATAAAAATAATCAAAGTAGTAAACTTTCTAATCAAAACAGTTGTGTTAAATACTCATTATTTCATCCGAATTGTATGAAAACGGAGTTAAGTAACAGTAAAATGTATCTAACATATCTATTTTTGCTGGTTTTGGCGACTATTTCGGGTGTAGTTTCCAGTGAAGTGTCATTCAAAAATGTTACTATTTGGAACATGTGGAGAAGAAAGCTCACAACTATCACTTCTGCCAACAATCTTAAGAACTATTTACCGAGAAACTGGACGTCGCCATCAATATTCATTATTACTGGGACAATACCAACCTTATATGAAGATTCCATCACAGACATTGAAAATGTGGAAAATCTTCAATTCCGCAGAAATGGAATCGTTGAAATACGTCCAGGTGCATTCAAAAATTTCAAAAATGTTAAAGGATTAACTTTTATTGAAAACAACATCACAACCATTGTTGGGGTTTTTGATAATCTCACTCTAGACCAAATCAATATAGACTCCAACCAAATCTCGATAATCCCACCAGGAGTTATAAAAAATTCGCGTCTGAGTGGACTGAGTTTTTCCAATGATAGAATCAAAACAATCGAAGAAGGTGCTTTTGACCATCTTCCTAACTTAAAAAAATTGGATTTATCCAAAAATTTACTGTCAAATCTTCCTCACGGAATTTTTAAAAATGTACCCCAACTCACACATGTTTCATTAGAAGATAACAAATTCACCACAATCAAGGAAGAAATTTTCGACAGTTCCTCATTACTTTACTTGTATTTATCTGACAATTTACTGACAACAATTCCAGAAAATTTCATGAAACGCATGCCAAAATTAGAGGCAATCTTCCTGAAACGAAACCACCTAAAAGAAATTCCTGCTGGCATTTTCACCAACAAAACCTTGCATAATGTGGAACTATCAAATAACGAAATTTCTTATATTGCACTGGATGCATTCGATAACATGCCCAACTTGGCAAATTTATATTTATCTAGCAACAAGTTACGAGAATATGACTCTAGGTGGTTTCACAACTGTCCAAACATCTATCGACTATTTCTTTCCTACAATCTCCTCGAACAACTTCCAGATCAAGCCTTCAAAAATATTTACAACAAAAAAGAACAGTGGGTTAAATTAGATAGTAACAAAATAAAGAAAATTTCGGCGGAAACATTCAAAGGGTGGAAACGAGTTGATACTTTGGATCTTAATTCTAACGAAATTGAAATTTGGCATGAAGATTACCTTGCAGATGTTGAATTTATCAGGAGTCTCAATCTTGCAAATAATAAAATTGTGTGTCCCGTCGGCGATTTAGATAAGCTTTTCAAAGCCAAAACAGTCACTTATTTAGGTGAAAATCCTTTGAGTGAAACGTGCAAGAGCAAAATTCGAGAATGGTCCACAAAAAATGTAGACAAAGTCGTTATTTGAATATTATGCTTATTGAATTCTAATGTTTCAAAAAGTGTAAATAAATATTAAAACAAAAATTATCGTATGTTTCATTGTATTTAAAAAAAAATTATTACAAGGTGTGATTAAAAAAGTAGAAAGAACGTTATTTAAGTGTGTAATTTCTTTTATTATTTTTCCACAAAAAAATTACCGAATAAGTCGTGTTTTTTTTGTCAAAACTAAATCTTCCAGTAATTTAAGTCTTTTATCTATCAGCAAATCAACAGAAATAACATTTAACAAAAACATTGTCATTCCTTCTGTTGTTACCGTTTTTTTCTTACATTAAAGTGATTATAAACAACATAAAACATTAATAAATCAGTACATTACAACACGTAATAATCACTCATTGGTGATAAGAACATAACAAACAGCTGTGCTAGTTTGTAAAATTTGTTTTACTGGTTTACCCCATAACAAATATTAAAATGGAAATTTTGAACTCAAAAAATCAAAATCGTACATAATTTTAATATTGGTCATAGTATTCAAGTATCTTATTTTGCATAAAGTGTTTTGAAAAAACAAAGCTTAAATTTCTACATAACAATTTTACAATTGACTTGTTTATACACGTTAGACATCGGTTTGATTATATTATTTGCACTATTTGAAAAACAGGAAAATTAAAAAAATCCTCAACGATTTGATTATTTAATACGATAATTGAAATGGTATATCAGCTATCCAGAAGTAATAATAACCTGTTTTTTTTTTTTAAAAAAAAGCAAACACAAATTTTCACACTAAATTATTTATTTTAGAATATAGCTGAAATAGCATCACATACATTAAGTGCAATTTGGACTAATGAAGTAAAACACAAAGTTGAAAAATAAACGGGCGAAGCGAAAAAGTATTGGAAATGTATAGAAATAGTAATTTTCATATTTTCCTTTTAATATTTAATGAGTTTTTTTGAGAAATAATACATAATCATGTTCCCGAAATTCGAATTAGTACATAAACAAGTATGGATTCTGTGACATATCTTGTGGTTTATTTAACTTACTTGAGACACATTATCTTCAGAAATATGCAGAAATCAATTGTAAATAAACAACAATTTAGATTGATTAAATGGAAAATAGAAAAACTAATTCATGAAGTATTAAAATGTAATCGTCTTCAAAAAAAATTCTTATTAATTTTCTTTTATATTGGAATTCTGTTAAATATTTAGTTACTTTTTCAAATAGCAATCTGATTTAAGAATCACGACTACTGAAAGCAAAAATCAGTTTATATGAAAAATAATTTTCACAAAATACAAAACTCGAAAAATGAGATTTCAAAAATTCCATTATGAACAAAAACACAATTTAACCCGTCATACCAAACTTTTATTTCAAACACGACAAGACACTAATTTAATTGCGTTCTTTCCGAAGTTCTTTCTCATTCATGTTTATTTTGTATTCTTGTCAATTTCTTGCTAAAAATTGAGAATGTTTAGCAAACCTGCATTAAAAATTGGGTCTACATTTTAACGAGCCCTTTTTCTAACTTTCTGCTTGCAAACTATTCGTTTTCAAATTTCTAAAAACTGTTAACAGTACCGAATTTGTTCCTTTTTGGTGTTTCTTCTCTAAATTTTCTTACACGATTTTTTGTGTTTACGTTTAATGACATTGTTTTCAAATTAATTCAAAAAACCGAAACTGCCAACTTCCTTTATTAAAATTACCATGAATGAATTTACTACTGGTGCCAATGTTAAGACTGTTTGGCATTTCCATTTAAAAGAAAAAACAGACTTTATTATTTTCAAGTCCAAGGCCAACTTTTTGTTACTGGCAGAAAATACTGTTATTTTGTTGTATGGGGTAAGTATGGTCTTGTATTTGAAAAAATAGAACGAGATGATGAGTGTTGGAAAAAATGTTGCCTAAATTAGCAATATTTTATTACAATCACTTTTTGAGCTTATGTTGAAATGTGTTTAAAAAATAGTTGCTCTATGTAAAGTACAGCCGCTTGCAAGAAATATTGGTCGTCATTGTTTCAATAGAACTCAATTCATTGTGTTAAAAATAACATTGACCAAAATTTATTGCTTACGACTATACATAATGTATTTAATGTTTTTTGTATTTTAATTTTAAATAAATAATTGTTTAATTTATGTAATTTTAGTTTTTTTTTAGTTATCATTTTAAAACCTACATAAAAAACATCTTTGAAATATTAAAAGTTAACATATCAGTATACTTTTATTGGATGATTTTATTTAATGATAATTATCTTTTTTTTTATATTATTTTCCTTTAAACTTACCTTCATACAACTGCACCCGCTTGTGCCACTCCTGCACATTGTGTGGATTCTGCCGCAGCAGCACCGAATTGAGCAGCAACAACCTCCTCTCCATCAAATTCTCAAACCTGGCCAGTCTCAACTCCAAGTCAATATCATCGTCTTCGGTCGGATTAGGCATTTGCGCCACCTCCTCCATCCGCTTACTCAACGTCAACTCCTCAAACTGTGCATAGGCGTCAAAAACTTGAGTAAAATCCCTCACGGTTGTAACAGTCTGAATAGCCTCCTCGTAAATATCCCGCGCTCTTTCAAACAACCCGCTCCTGACGTAATAAGTAGCCAGAGAGTTCCACAAATGCCCCAATTGGTCAGTATACCGCCTCAAGCCCCCCCTGATAATAGCATCAACGTTCAACGAATGCACCTCTTCCGGATTCTTCGAAATCAATTCGCACAACTCGTTCCACAACTGGTGTTTGGACTTCCCGTGTTGCGACACAAAATTCTCATCGTTGACGATTTTAGCCAAGACGACAGCGGCCTCGTCTAGTCGCCCCACTTCCGTCAGATACTCGACATATTCCTCCGCGTTTTCGGGACTTAGTTTCAAATACCGGCGGAAAATTCGCACAGCGGTCTCGGAAATGTCGTGCTTTTTCACGAAGGTGAGATACAGGGGCCAGATGCGGTGGTGTTGGGTCACCGGGAGCGCCCTCAAGGCCCGATCGAAGACCTTCCGTGTCCGCGTGATTTTGCACTGATCGGTCAGAAAACTGCAATAATCCATCCAAATACGCGGCATTTTGTGCATGAAAACGAGAGAGCGTTCAAAGGCGTTGTTCACGTCCTCGAAGGCGGGGTCAGTGATGCAGCGGTTTTTCACCTGGAGGCGCCGAGTGCGCAAGTAGTTGTACCAGAGTTTGTAAGAACCGGGGAGCTCCTTAAGGGCGCGCTCGTAGATTATGTTCACACCGTGCTTTGGGGCCTTCTTCTTGTGCTCGATGTACCGCAGCCAGTGCTTCACGGAGTAGGGGTTGCGGAGGATTTCCTCCTCGTAGGGGAGGTCTTCATCAGTCTAGAATTTTACCAATCACCACACTGAAAATTTCAATTAGAATACGTACAAATATGATCTCCATGGGGGTTTCTTGGCGAACAACATCGCTAGAAACCGGCATTGCGCCGCTATCAACGAAAATAAAACGTTGGAAAATGTTAGGTTATACAGAAAAATGACAGCTCTTGTCCGGCGCTATCGAAATTAACTATTACCGAATTCTAGACCACGCCATTTATTTTACAAAAATTAAATAATAAATTATGTATAGTCAAATATTTTATTAAAAAACTAGCTACAAAAAAATTTCATGCATACTTATTAACTCCATTGATTTAATAATCGCATTCGCAACGAAAATGACAGTTCATGTCCAATATCAAGGTAGCTTGAATTCAAATAACAGCGAATTTCGTAATTACTTGAATTTTTTTCACAAACCAAACCAACAATTATTTAGTTGAAAATTTTATTAAAAAACCGTTATTTAAAGACATTAACTCCGTTGATCAAATAAACCGCTTCGTTGTCGCACCCGCAGAGAACTTTATTCCTGTTAACATCCAAACTATTGATTGGTTTGTGCAATTTGGGCATTAGGGTGAAAACGTCCAATTTGTTTTTTATGGTGTCAGACGCCAACCAAACATTCTCCCCATTGAGCAAGCTAGAACCAGCTCCAGTTTTCGGGGACCAATGCCAAACGTCGCCGGCCGTGGAGCAAGTAAAAAGCTGGTCTGGATGATCTGGATGGAAATGTATCTCCATGACGCCCCCCTCATGCGCATCTAAGAGATTCACCGGGTACGTGTTTTGGCGCAAGTCCCATATTGTGATGGACCCTGAAACGAAGTATGAAAAATCGAATTGAACGACTATTTGGGTGGTAAGCACCTTCCTCGTCGCCTGCCACCACCAGATGCCTCTGTGTGGGGTGGTTTTGGAGACACAGCGGCGAAATTTGATCCCCACTCAACATGAAAGTGGTCGAGGGCTCGGTTTGGGGGGCCCTAATGTCGAAAATTTTCAACTGGCCGCGTAAATTGCCAGTCAAAATCTCGCTGTGTTTCAAAAAAGCCACGCAATGAATGGAGCAACTATCGGCGGGGTCTATTCTACGGAAAACGTTCTGATTTTGGGCGTTTAATAAATTAATAGAGCCGTCTTCGCCAACGCTCACGATGTCGTTGTCGTAGGTGCAGAAGGCGGTGCAAGGGCTGGTCTCCCCATTGGGAAATTTGTGAATTGCCTCCCAGAAAATTCTTCTCTCAATTAAAGGGTCGATTCCGTGCTCTGAACTGATTTTCATCAGACTGACAGAGCCCGCAGATGAAGACGTAACGAATAAATCGCCGTTCAGAAACTAAAAACCACAAAATTGTTAAAACGTCTACAAAATAAGTGTTTTACACACTTTGGCTTCGGTTACATCCCCACTGTGGGGAAATTCAGCTACTAGGAATGGGTAAACTTCGGCGTCTTCTTCGTTTTCTTGAAAATCCCAAAGTTTGATACTGTTTTGGTCGTTGTCCCAACTGCCGGTTATAAAATAATGCGAGTCGTTCATAAAGTCGGGCCGCCAACGGATTTTGTTCACTTTTTCCGAAACGAACGTGCCGTGAATGTTGTGAGTCATTTTGGGTCCTTAATTAAAATACTAAAATAAATTAAACTTGAAAAAGAAGTGAAAAACTACCGCTATAACCTCACTCTGTCATTAAGCGATAGGCAACCCCTTATACACACCATTTCAAATTTTATAACACAGACATTTTTTTTGTATTTTCTTGGCCGCTAAATTCTCACTGGGATTCAAGTACTTTTTTGTACTTTTTTTTCGTATTTTATTTGATTTCGAAAATGTAATTGTAATTTTTAACTGGAGCAAAATAAGTCGGTTTCAAATCCACACAGACAAAACACTTCCGCTCCTCTTTATTTTTTGTACATGATTTGCATTATAAAAGAAAATGCCACAACTGCACTGTAATAAAATTAAGACTAAAAATAAAATAGCTGTGTAAAAAAATATGAAAAATAAGAAAACATTTTATAAATATGGAAATAGGTCTACGTTAGTGAGAAATTCTCCAGGTGCACCAACGTTTGGTGTTTTTCACTAAATTTCAAGTCGTGCTAGATTCCAAGTGCGATGTTATTCTTCATCTCCATGAATTTTAGATTTTTAAAAAAATAAATACAGAATTGAAATACAGATTTTGGGGTAACGTTATTGATTAATGTCTATAGGAAAATAATGTTTAGTATAATTCTTTTTCAGATATGTGAACAGCTCGCTAAAATAGTAAAATGAAGTCAGAAAACATCAGTGACAATGCTGGTGCTCAGGTTTATAAAAATTTAAACAATCTACTAATTAGTAATGATGTACCCCCACTTTTTAGATTTGTTTAAAGACTGAAAGTAGTGGAGCATGCCAGCTGTCTCCTGAAGAACAAGAGGCAAAGCCACGGTTCTGTTGTAGCAGCCCCCTTGAGAGACACAATTGTCGTGATTGTCCTTTCGAGACGGAACAATTTTTGCATTTAAAGACACACATTAAACATGTGCCCTTGGACGTAACGTCGTATGATGCTATCCACAGTTTAAAAAAGTACCTTTGTGTGAAGTGTGATTTTAAGACGTATTCAAAATTAGTTTGGCTAAAACACTCTTCGAGTAGCGGTCATTCTTGTAACATAAATTACATATATAAGTGTTGCGAATGCTCATTTGAGATAATAAATAAAGTCAGTGAGTTAAAACGTCACACTTTGTACCACCACATATTCTCAACTGCGGTTGAGTGGTTCTGTTGCACCAAATGCCGTTTCAAAACTTCCTTTAAAAACATATTACTCCTGCACAAGAATTCAACACAGCATTCAGATTTCGTAAAACAGTGGTCCTTCAGATGTAGAGCATGTCCCTACGAAACCCGAGAAGAACACCACATGGCAAAACATGTTCAGATGTATCACATCGAATCGACTCCAAAAGACAGCAACTTTGATCATTCTTACGCAAAATCCCCCTACACACACATTTTACTCAAATATATGCCATTAAAACATTACATTTACAAATGCGAACATTGCAACTTTGAATCGCAGATGAAAACAAAGATTGATGAACATCTCAAGAAGGCGCACCTAATCGACGACAACAAATTGTTTGAATGTGAAAATAAATCTGAACAAGAAGCCAATGGCAACATTTGCAAGAGTGAGACTAACAATCCTAGCCTGAAGAAGAAACGTGGGTCTTTCGCGTGTCAGAAATGTGAGTTTAAGACAAATAGTGAGAAACAGTTAGTAAAACACACGAAAAGAATGCACAATGAGTATAAAATTGAATGGGTTTGTAACATTTGTGGGTTGAGAACGATGCTAGAATGGGACTGGAGGAGGCATTTGAGGCAGAACCATTAGACTAAGGACAAAAAAGGCTAATATTGACGTAATGGTACATTCTGTAAAACCCTGTGTTTTTTTAATGACAACTAGGGACATTTTTTGTTGATAAACGAGGGATTCTCAGTTATTTTTATCAATTATAATACAATTATTTTATTTCTTTCTCTACCTGCTATTGAAAGAAAACATCACAACTGGGTTTCGAGATTTTTTCACTTTGTTTCTTTTTATTAATAAATGATATCTCCTCTATGTTAGCAACATTTTGCTTGCCACGCTTGTCAAGTATCATCTAAACTGGAGCTAACTGAACAATTTAAATATATTCAGCATATTAGATATCTATATTTTAGTTTCATTTAAAAAGACAACTGTGTCACGTGGTACTTCGTGTCAAGAAGAAACCCTGTGACCCACTTTTCCCTCCTCTCCCGTACCACATACGCTACTTGAGTGTTAGTTGCATTGACAACAGCGCCCTCAACGGAAAATATTGTAATTAGAGTGGAAGTGTGAATGTGATGCATTTCGTATGGGATAATGCGGATTTTTCCACAATAATACAGAAAAATTAACCAAAACGGTAAGTAAACCACTTGATTACGCTCATGTTTGCAAAGACAGCCCCCCAAATGAGTGTAGAGCTAACAGCAACCGTTTTATTCTAGGTTATGTAAATAAGAGCGAAGTGTAGCGAGTGGCCCATACCCGGCGCTAGTGGTGAAAAGTGAGCAATTTTCCTTCATGAGCGTCTTTCCCCCGGCGTGAAACGCGCAAATTTCCTTCCATTGTGCACCGAGTTCGCTTGTAACCAAACAATACCAACTGTGCACTTGTTAGATCACTACAACCCACAACAATGTCCGAAAGCGACCTGCCCGACCTTGCGCCGCCGGAGGCCGAATCGGCCGCCGCGCCGCCGCCGCCTGAGGAGCCCCCCGAGGAGGCCGTGAACGGCGGCGACGACAAGCCCCCGACGCCCGTCTTGGAGGAGCCCCCGTCAAGTGAGTCCCCTGACGACACCAGCACCCCCAAAACCAGCCGCGAGCTCAAATCCATTCTCGCTTTGTCCAAAGAGGCGAAGTTAGACACGAATCTGTCAACAAATAGACGCAAAACGCTAGATAAAATCAAGGGCACGCCGAAAAAATCGCCCAAAATGACGAGTTTTCCTGTTACAGCCGAGAGCGAATTGGAAAATTTCGACGTGAAAATCGAAGAGAAAAAGGCGAAAAAAAGAAAATCGAGCTTTGGCGTCGAAAGCGGGGTAGAGGGCGCCACCGCGGAAGAGGCGAGGAGGGGTCTGCAGTTTTATAACAACGATTTTATCATGGCAAGGAAGGTAAGGGGGCTAAAATACACCAATTGTGAGTGCAGTTACGCCGTTTCGGCCTCGTTTCAACTTAAACTAAGAAAAGTGTGCACATCTGTCAGTGAAAAGCACCAATTGTCACGATCTGTGTGAGTGATAGGTGGCTGTGATTTGTTTTTCCTACGTTGCACAAACTGATTAAATGTCAAGAAATCTACGACAAACGCATAATTTTAAAACAACATTTATATTTCTAGTGTCAGAAACATTGCTTTCTGGTGTAAAAACAGGTCCCATTAATGATGTAAAAATGTTGTTTTCTCGAGTACAAGGTTGTATACATACACCAAGTGCATATCGGCATATTTTTGTAGTGTAAAAGTAATGTTTTTTTGTGATATTTTACGTCACGTACGATAATTAAACGATTTTAGAGTTCCATCTTTTATAAAATTGAGAAATTTAACAAAAATATTAAATTATTACTAATTTTAGATTGTATGTGAGAACTGTGCCAATCACGTAACAACTAGCACACATTATTTTTTGTAAAGTAATCGCAGCAAAATTATTGCGTGTATTTTTCTTTTTTTTTTTGCATAAAATAGTCACCCAGTGTGAAAATTTTCATGTGTTTGCTATTGCAGCCCAACAAAGACATCTTTTGCTGGCGTTGCCACCACGATGGCGTGCAAGTGGCATGCGAGACGTGCCCCAGGGCGTACCATCTCAGGTGTCTCAAACAGACAATCACAGATTTGGAGCACTGGCCATGTCCCGAATGTGTTGCAATACTTAAAGCTGAGAATACACAAACTAGGTAAAAAAAAATTAATGAAAATGTCAAATACGAAATTAAATCGTTGTCGTAGGTCTAAAGCTATGAAAGGAATGTCTCTCGAACACCTTTGTAGTTTGCTCAAATTTGCTGTGAAGAGGATGATACAATGCAATGGGGTAATACACTGTTGGATTTTCTTGGTGTTAAAGTTTTAAATGTGGTGTTTTTTTGGACAGTCTGAGCCGTTTATACATCCCGTCGACGAGAAACAGTTTCCTGAATATAGAAATTACATCGTTCAACCCATGACTTTGACCATGTTGGAGAAAAATATCAAGGATAATGCGTATGGGAGTACTCAAGCTTTCGAGTCAGATGCTAAGTGGATTTTACATAACAGCATCATCTTCAACTCATGTTAGTATTTTTTTCTTTTGGTTTTTTATTGGGTGCTGTTGTTAAGTGCATTAGTTATACAGAGTGATGAAAAAAAGGCGCCCACGATTGAAACAGTCACGTCCTTTTTTATTGAAACATTGTGACCATCATTCCAAAAATAGTCTAAATAGATTCTTTTTAAAATTTAAACAGTTTGTCTAACAGCACAAAGCGGCAATATTGCACAATTTTCTTTACTAAAAAACTATTTCACTCAGGTATTTTTCGTATCTAGGAAAGATATTGTCACCCGAATAAAATAAAAAACTGTAAAGTTTACATAATTTTATTATTCTAATACGACACGACCGAAAGGTATCTAATGATTTCAATTATTTTTTTTTATCTTTGACTTTTTGTCTTTAATCGTTCAAATTTCACAGAACAAACAACATTGAAAATTGATTTTTTTGTTGCTACCGTTTCCAATAATTGAATATTACTTGGACATTTTCTGTATCCTAGGATATTTGCAATGTTGCAACATTGATAATTTTTTTTTGGAGCCAAGAAATGGTATCCTAACATCTTCAATAAAGTTTATTTCAATAGACTTTTTACACATTTTTTTAAGAACATTGTCAACTGTATCAAAATCTAGACTTTAACAATGAAATTATTTTAAAACTGTTAATTATACAGGGTGTTCCGTTTTTATTGTTACAAATTTAAACAGGTGATGGGATATTCAATTCTAAGACAAAAGTTTCCTATAAACATGTATCGAAAAATGCTTGGTAAGGGAGCTACACCCCCTGAAAAGGGGCTAATATGTTTTTGCTGATATTTCAGAAACCATTTAAGATAATATTACAAAATGTGGTACAGATGATAACCTTTATACACCTAAACGAATTCAAGCATCAAATGTCGAAATTTTTAATCAGGGGCGTCCGAAACTGGTGGGGTTTAGGGTAAAAAAATACCTATTTATTTTGGCTTTAGTTTCTTTAGTTATGCWTTGAGCAAAATGGTRGTCACTTTGAACAACTCCTTTAGATTTAGGCAAATTCATTTAATTAATGTTATTATTGTTACTGTAATGTAATGTTAATTAGTTGAGGTTGATTAAAAATATGAATTTCTTGCTTTTATTATTCTGTAAATTCTGATTTATTTGAATGTTGTATTGGTGTGTAACATAAGTTTTAAATCAATTTTATTCAATAACAATAAGTAGTATCGACACAAGAGAGACTTTTTTGTGATAAACTATCGAACTTAAGATTTTGTTGCTGAAAGTACCGAGAAACTAAAGCCAAAATAAATAGGGTATTTTTTTACCTTAAACTCCCCCAGTTTCGTACGCCCCTGATAAAAAATTTCGACATTTGATGTTTTAATTCGTTTAGGTGTATAAAGATTATCATCTGTACCAAATTTTGTAATTTTATCTTAAATAGTTTCTGAAATATTAGCAAAAACATATTAGCTCCCTTCCAGGGGGTGTAGCTTCCTTACCAAGTATTTTTCGATACATGTTTATAGGAAACTTTTGTCTTAGAATTGAATATCCTATCACCTGTTTAAATTTGTAACAATAAAAACGGAACACCGTGTATAGATTTCTCTTTTCTAAAAAGGAAAGTCTATATTTTACTGATAAGAGCACAAATCCAATTTTGGTCTTCGAATTCGTCTTTAATAAAAGATCACTTATAACGTGTGGGGTAACACGGGCGCCTTTTTTTCATCATACTGTAGTTCAGATTTTAAGAAAATTCATGGCGTTTGGTAAAGAAGAAAAACCCATGATTTTAAACAGATTTAACCGAAATTGTAGTTTCTAGCTCTTCCACGTTGTACATATCAAGACCACGCATATAATCTAAATTCCAGCCTTTCCAGATCAGTCCAAGCTCACGACCGCTGCGAAAACAATCGTAAAAATTTGCAAACAAGAAATGGCCGAAATTGAAAACTGTTCTTCGTGCTATCTAAACGCCAACACCAAAAAACACACATGGTTCGTGGAGGTGTGTCCCAAGCCCCATCTCTTGGTCTGGGCGAAACTCAAAGGATTCCCTTATTGGCCCGCCAAAGTCATGTCGATTAATTCAACTGGTATGGCGGACGTCCGATTTTTCGGTGCCCATGACAAGGCGTGGGTCAGCGTCAAGGACTGCTATTTGTATTCGATCAAAGACCCCAATTCTGGCAAACAAAAACGAAATGATATCATCGAATGTGTCAAAGAACTCGAGTTGTACGTCGATAATTTGCGCAAGATTTACGGAAGAGTGAATTTCGCACCGTTTAAAACGCCACTCGAGGCGGACACGCAGATGAGACAGTTGCAAGTGTTTTTACCGAATTATAAAAACGAAGGAAAGGAAGTTGTGAAGAAGGTGAAAGATGGAGGGAAAGTTGAGAAGTTAAAAGTTGAGGGGATTGAAAGTCTGGGTGATTTGGAACGGGGACATAGTGGGGAGAGTAGTGAAGAAGAGGAGAATGAAGAAGAAGAGGAGGAGGATAAGGGGAAGAGAAAGAGTGAGAGTTCGAACGGGGATAAGCAGAAAGAGGCCTCCATGACGAGAATCGACTACTGTGAAACTCCCCCAGGTATAATTTGAGATGGTTTTAGTTGAATTTTGGTTTAAATTTTTTTTTTTTTTTTAGAAAAACCCAAACTGGTAGCAAAGCCAATTAAAACTATAATCATTAGAAAACGTTACTCGGTCGATAATCTTCAGGAAAACTCTGCGAAGATTGCACGAAAAGAGTTGAATAAAACCGATACCACTCGATGGTCGTTGGATAATCATGTAAAGCAAAATTTGACGACGGTCAATACGAATAATCTTCAAAAGGAAGAAGAAAAAGTTTCAAGTAATGCTTTGTCTCAAATCAAATTACGGATAAGTGACGAGCTTATCAAGAAATTGGGTGATTTGGACGAAGACGGCAATGAAACGAAGGAAAGTGAAAGTAAGAAAGAAGAAAATGACAGTAAAGTTGAAGAAAAAACAAGTGAAGATGATGAATTAAGTAAAGATAAGATTGAGGAAGAAAAGTCTGAAATAGAGGTGAAAAATAAGACTGAAGAAGAAAAAAGCGATGAAAATAAAACAATGCCAGAAAAATCAGATAAATCTGAAGAGTTGAAAGTTGTTGAAGATAAGACATTAGAAGATGATAAAGAAGCAGAAGTAGCAATAGACTCAAACATACGTAAAGATATTACAAAAGAAGACGAAAGTACGAAAGAATCCTCTAAAAAACGTAAACTTGATGAAGAGGAATCGGAAGATGATTCGACTATATTTCCGCCAAATAAAATGGTAAAACTTGTACCTATCGAAAATATTTTACAAAAAAAGGACGTAGTGGAACCTCCGTCAAATAAACAGGAACAATTAATACTTTTAAAAGAAATTCGGGTCGTCAAAGACGGTAAAAATAAAACCCAAAAACCCGAATCCGAAGATAAAACATCGAAAGAGCCTCCAGTAAAAATAAAAAGCGAAGTGGAATCAGACGAGGATAATAGCGACGTCCAATACATGGAAGCGAAACGTCAATACCTCTCCGCTTTGAACATATCCGAAAAACAAAAAGTCCCGACAAAACCGAAAGCTCACGAAATCCGGACACGATCAAAAACCGAGGAGAAGAAGAGTCGAAAAGAAGAGAACACTTCCAAATCGAACGAAACGTCTAAAGAAATCTACATCAAATCACTGTCCAAAATGCAAACACCCAAACACAAAGCACGGAAGTCTTTCCCGACCCCCAACTACAGCAAAAAGACAATTGTGGCGCGGAAAATCGTCCCGAAGACAGCCCTAGACGACGAATTAACAATCGTCAATGCGACAACGTTGCAACCCACCGGAAACGTGATGATTTTACCGAAATTACACTACACCAAACCCGTCACCAGAGATTTGAGTAGTCCACCAATGTTGACGATGTTGTCACGTCCACAGGTTGATGCAAATGCCCCTACAAAAAAGGTCGTCGAAGGGTCGCAAAATTACATCCCCCAGAACGAGGAAGAGGCTCGGAGTAGCATGTTGTTGAATAATTTGTTAACGAGCGGGTCAGCACCACCTATCATTGACGTTGATAACCAATCGAATTCTTTGGAGTCCGAATTGGGGGCGTTGAAGGAAATCCTCCCCGAGAATGTGTCGAAAGGCGTGAACGAAATTCTATGCCAACCGCCCCCGAAACTGAAACCTAAACCGTTGGGAGTGTTGAGTAGTGTGGTGGAGTCGGGGGTTCCCAGCACGGCGGGGCCGGTGGCGTCGAGGATCAATTCCATGGCACAGAAGGTGAGTTTTGTGATGGGAGAAGGGGCGGTTTTGATTGGTGTTTGGTTTCAGCTTGCTGATTATTTTCGAGGATTGTTGGTTGAGACGATTAGTGATATAGGCAAGAGTAGTAATCCGGAAGCGACGATAAGTACTTTGAAGTACGAAATTGAGGAGTTGAACCATAAACATAGTATTGAATTGTCGGAGATCAGGAGGAACGTCTCGATTGTGTTGAAGGATATTCAGAAAAGCGTTGTGGAAGAGAGGGAGAGGATTATTAACGAGACGAAGGCGAATTGCGAGATGGAAATGATGAAGAGGGTGGAAGAAGCGAAGTCCAAACAGTGGTGAGTGTCTTAGAGCTGTCTGACACGACACTAATTTCAGTACTGAAATTGCCCGCGCAATTTTAGTTAGCTTGGATGCAAGAAAATAGAGCCTGTTCTAATTTCTTGCATCCACTACAAATTATTATTAATGCGCATTAACAAAAAGCGTAAATTTAAAATATTCAAATGTAAAAACAGAAATATTATAACTAAGACGCTTTACGAGCTTTTGTCTAAAACTCGAAAAATGTTCAAGGGTAATTTTTTGAAATTGCGTTTATGCTACCACGCGCTGTTATCAAAAGAAACGTATTAAGTCCCCATTTTCTATGAATTATTTACTTTAATATCTAATTTTTAATTTAATGAACCGAGTTTGTAAAATAATATTGCAGAATTTGTCAACTAAAATATGAAAAATGTAACAAAGAATAAATATAACAAAATATCACAAATTTTAAAGTAATGGTAAATCAATAAGTGGTGAATTAACCAACGTCCCTCAACATTTTTTAAATAGTTTCCTCAATTGAATGGAATTTCAGATACATGTTACATAACAGAACTCCAGAATATTTATTTTTTAAAGCTAACTAATGTAGTTTTTTTAATACCATACATTAAACTGCAATTTCATTTAGCCTATTTCAACGTTCAAAAACGGTTGGAAATAAAAATCTCTTGAACATTCTCTTCAAGAAAATTTTATTCTCTACAACCCCTTGATTGTATTTGTTGTAAATCTAACGTTTTTCGATCTTTTTAATTAAAGAGAATTATTCACAAATGTTAAACTTGGCGTTAAATTTTATATAACTCATTTAAGAATACTTTCAGATGAAATGTCTGTAATATTTTTTCAGGATTGTAGGGAATTGAATATCCCGATATATTGTCCGTGCTTAAAATTGACAACTGACAGTCCTTTCGGTCTTTAGCAAGATCAATGCGCATGTTCATAGAATTATTTCAGTACTTACGTGTCGTAGTAACTCCTAATTTCGATACTAAATTTGCGCGCGCATTCAAGCAATTCAAACTGAAATTAGTCTCGTGTCAGACAGCTCTTAGAAATATTATCTAGGTATAATTTATAATGAATGCTTTGTTTCTAGGTGTGCGAATTGCTCAAAAGAGGCCCAGTTCTACTGCTGTTGGAACACCAGCTACTGTGATTACCCATGCCAGCAGAAACACTGGTTGAAACACATGAGTAAATGTACGCAAAACGTCGCTCAAAATCAGACATCGACAACACCAGTACGACAGACATCCCAACAGCTAGTATTAACGCCGACGTCGGCGCCGAAATTCGGGGTACTTATCACAAACAAAAGCAAAAGATAACCCACACTAACAAATAAACACTTCCAGGCTTTATTCGCCAAACCGCAGAAAGTTTACCTTAAAAGGACAAACGCACCGTTTAAGGTAAATCGACCCAAACGTGCCCAAAGTCATATTTAGTTGATTTTTTTGTAGCAAACAACCGGAAGCCATATAACTCTTGTCGAGTCAACGCCGGGAAACTTTGAATTGTTGGGGAGCGGTCCCATAGCCGTCAATGGCAAAATCTTAGCAAGCACGTCAGTGATTGAAAAAATCAAAAGTGGTAATATAGTGACAGTTACGGCGCCGTCTGGCCCCACAAACACACAGTTAACGAGTGCGAATCAAAAAGTGAATACAGTTACGAAAAGTACTGCCAGTTCTTCAGACAGTGAACATTAAATTCAAGACTGCCAAATAAGGAGAAAATATCATGTTTTTCACGTTCGTGTTTCAAGATCTGATATTACAAAGTTGTTTGTAGCTCCTCATAGAACTTATGGTGTAAAAACAATTATTTTTAGTAGTATGTTAATTCTTTTTATAACATGAGTACACGTTACTATAACTTTTTTTATTTAGTGTATGTATGTGAAGTTAAATAAAACAGCTTTATATTTTGAATACGACCAACTGCTAACTTCTGGGACACAAAATATTCTTTGTAAAATAGATACTTTATTAATAACTCCCAGAATGTATGTTTGATTATCAAGGAAATTTTATCCAGATTCTTTTTTCACTTTGATTGCTTCCAATTATTTTATATAGCACCCTTATTACAATAAATAAAGTTAATATCTAGAATATTGCAAAAATTACAAATCTGGATATGCTGAACTGGAACCTTGATTATTTATCTACGACCGGTCGTGGATAAAGTATAGTACATTACACGAGTTGTAATTGGTTTACAACTCATTTTTGGCACGTGACCTTTTCCTATCTGTGTCCAATAGCCGGTGCCGAACTCGAAACCTTTTCCAGCTTCTCGAAATGCTTCCTAGCGTTCCTAATATTAATCAGAGTGACTTCTGAGGGAATCTGCGGATCAGACATGCACACCATCACGTAGGTGTTGCTAGTAAACATGTCAATGTAGGCCGCAAACGCGGAATTTCTAACTTCCATGCTCTGGAATTGCGCCGCCAGTTTCGAGCACGACAACTTGAACTGTTTTATGATGTTTGAGACTTTTTCAAATCTGTGCACGTCTCTGTGGTGTTTCCTTTGGCAGTGGGAGATCACCAAGAAAGTCGCCCTTTCAAACAAGAGGACTTCATCAGCGTCGACAATATTGGCAAACTGTTGTAAACTATTTTCTAATTCTTTGACGTTGGGAATCAGCATGTACACAATACTGGACCACGCCCTGTACAGCGTCTCATCCCAGATGGAAGTCCTAAAGCAAGTGCACTCAAGCGGCAGAGACAACCGCTTTAAATCAGCCTCGCGCTCCTTGAAGATAATCTCCCTTTGGTCCTCCGTCACGAGGTCCATTTTGTGGATCAAACAGAACACTTTGGCTTCGGGGGAGTTCTGCAAAATGGCCTCGAGACAGGATTGGTAGTAGTGCATGTCTTTCTCCAACTCGCGACTCTCCACGTCAAACACATAGATAAGCACCTCCACGTTCCTGAAGATGTTGTCGCGCTGTGACGCGAAGTAGTTTTCCATGAAAGCCTCCTGGCCCCCACAGTCCCACAGGTTGAGGACCAAGTTGCCGAGGAAGCGGACGTGGGAGTGCTCCACGTCGACTGAAACCAAACGACTGTTAATCGGCCGGGTTCGGGGCACTCTGCTTACTAGTCGCCCCCAACCTCCGCGTGTCTCGGGCGATGTAATTTGCGAAAATTATTGATCTCATGCTGGTCTTGCCGGAACCGCTTTTACCCATTAAAAGAACCTGGAAGTTTTAAGGTAATTTTAGTCAGTCCGAGGACTAAATAACGAACCTTCTTTTTCATTTTGGGGCCGGTTAATTGAAAATTTATTTGTGCGGAGAAAATTGGTCTAAGTACAGGACGCGATACATCAAATGTCAAAATCTTTTGTTGTTATTTTGTCCAGTGGCGACTCGTAAGGACGCTAAATAACTAGTCTGTTTTTTTTTAATGGAAATTACCAAGTCAAAATTTTTTTTGCTTTGTTTTTGTCCCTAGAAATTTTGTTAAAAAATTATGGTTATGTGTTCAAATTGAGATGTCAAAATTTTGACTTTTATGAATCTTGTGTGCCTGTTTGCTCTTTGAAAGCGCTATAATTGAATACCTGAGGTCTAAAGACAGAATTCAGTGGTAATAATTTTGATAGAAACACACGGTAAGTAACTACAATGTTGTGAACGAAAATGAGGTTCTTGCTACAAAAACTTTGAAGAAAAAGGATGTATATACAGAAAAGAGTTATAGCAAAGATACAAGTAATATTATGATGATTGGCAATAAATTTTGTGTAATTTATTGAAACGAGTTCAAAGTTGATGCATTTTATAAATTCTTCTTCAGTCTTAGTTTCAAAATTGTTACTTTTTCAACTCGTTCCTCAAAAACGATGCACAAGACACTAATTTAATTGCGTTCTTTCCAAGGTCCTTTCTCATCCATGTTTATTTTGTATTTTTGTCAATTTCTTGCTAAAAATTTAGAATGTTTAGCAAACCTGCATTACAAATTGCGTCTACATTTGAACGGCCCCTTTTTCTAACTTCCTGCTTGCGAACTATTCGTTTCCAAATTTCGAAAAACTCTAAATTTTCTTTGACGATTTTTTGTGTTGACATTTAATGACATTGTTTTCAAATTAATTCAATAAACCGGAACTGCCAACTTCCTTTAGTTTGTGTTTACTAGTGATGCCAACGTTATGACTGTTTGGCATTTCCATTAAAAAAAAAACAGACTACTATTTACATTTTATTTTTTTAGGAAACTAACATTCATAAAACTTTACAATCTGTTGTATATTTTTTATTATTGTGTCAAAACTTTTAAATAAAAAATTAAAACAGAAATTGCAACGTTGCCCCCATATTACGAGCCGCCACAGCAGCTTCAAAAAATATTTGAATTGTATAAAATGTAAAAATAATCAAATTAAATCAAAAGTAATTCTGTTTTCTAATAATTTATCCTTTAATTTCAAAAGACATATCAAAATTTCCAAATAGAAAAAAATCTTAGGGGCCAAAACTGGTTGAAAGATAAAAACCCCAGATGGTGTCAGTTTTGTTACTAAATTGTTGGAACAAGTCTCAGACGTGCGTCTCAGCATTTGTCTCTTTTTATTGCAGGGAGTCGAAAGGAGATAGAACGCCACAATATGTGTTGTGTACACCATCCGGTGGCAGCAAGATGGTGGTCGTTGCAAAAGTAATCGGTGATTAGATATGGATTTTGTAGATAATCCTCACTAAATGTGCTTAGTTGTTCGGTGAAAGTGCAAGTGTGTGAACGTTGTGCGTGTTCTTCATCTGGAATAAATCAGTGCCTGTCACACATTAAGGTAGGTTCGGCTCGTTGTGTGAAGGTCTTAAGGGCTGACGCATACCGGCGCGCCCATACTTTCCGCGGCTTCTTATCTGCTCGTTGACGCCAGGATGTCTTCTGACGAGGAGAAGCCCCCGGCGCCCCCCGTGCGTCTCACATCCAACCGCGGCACCGACATCCTCTCCAACTCGCTGGCGATGGACCGGCCTCTGCCCAAGGAGCCCGACGACGCCGACCGCAAGAAGAAGAACCTCAAGTCGAAAAAGACGAGCAAACTCTCCACGTACTCCGACAAGCCCAACATCTCCTATCCCACCAACTTCGAGCACACGGTCCATGTGGGCTTCGACCCCGTCTCCGGGGAGTTCACGGTGAGTCTGGCTGTGCACTGGCTTCCAGTAAGGGTAGGGGCTTGTTTTTTCGTTGAGTTTTATTAACCTGAGCGTTCTGTTGCAAGCTGCCACTCAAAGTAAGTAGCCTACAATGTTTTGTTTAGTTGCATCTAGATAGAATGGTCGTTTTGTTTTAGGACTTGATCCTTCTCACCCTTACGATTTGACAAATTCACCTGTCTATACGATACAGAGTGGCATTGTTAAATCGCCGTGCTATCTAATCTAGTGCATGATAGGAATCCGTCCATTTGTAAATATTTGTTAATCTCAAATCGCCACCTGCTTAGAAGCCCAAGATTTGATTGGTGTTTTCTTCCCCTTCCACTTGTGGTACCCAAAACAAATGAGATGCGTCATGTCGTACCCTCGACTGTAATTAATAATTTCTCTTGCATGTCTCACCACCCCAGTTAGTAATGATTAATTCGGGGTTTTTCACGCAATGTTTCACCTTGTATAGCAAGAAAAAAATGTTCGTTGTCGCTTTTATAAAACACCCAGTATCTGTCTTCTTGAAATAGTCAAATCCGACTTGATATATTGCAGGATAGTAATTTTCGTTCTTGCTGAATCTGAATGTAATTAGGTCCGAAATATCTTCCTATAAATAGAACGATGTTGTGAAAAGGTACAAATTTTCAGTGATTCATTCGGTCTCCTGTATATATTTGGATGATTTCTTGCTCCTATTAATATTTAAGCGCTTTTTATGCTTTAGATCTGTATAAACTTTTTTTTCTCGTAGAATATTATTTTTTTAGGAATTTTTAGTAGAGTAGGAATAGGTAGTAATTAACTGAAACTGAAAGAACTATTGTATAATTACGTTTCTGATAAAACCACAGCACTATCTGTTAATGTTGATTAATAGTTTTTTTTTTTGGAAATGATGAAAATAAATTGATAGATAAAAAGAAACAAAAATTGCACTAGTTAATAAAAAAATATGGATTTTGATTTCTACACCTTTTTCAAGTGTAATTTAGAAACGCTCACATATAATTCAGATTAGTCATTTGTCTTTCAGAAAGTGTTAATTGTATTTCAGAAGAGTAAAATGAGTTTCAGAAACCATGAGATGTAATTCAGATTAGTTAATTTAATTTCAGAAAGCATAAATTGGAATTCAGATTAGTCAATTGTATGTCATAAAGTAATAATTGTAATTCAGAAACCATTACATGTAATTCAGAACAGTAAATAAATTCAATTTCATGTTACATGTAATCCAGAAAATATCAATTCAGATGAGTAACTTACTGTTATCTCAAAATGAAGTTTACACATAAACATGAATTATTTGATTTTCAGAATTAAAGAATTACATAAACTTGCCATTTTGCAAAATAAATAAGATATTTTATTTTCAAAGGAATTTTGATAATGTAATTTTTGAATGAAAATAACGAATTTTCAATTACAAATGACAAACTCTGAATTATAACTAACACTTTCTGAAATGCAATTGACTAATCTGAATTACATCTGATGATTTCTGAAATTCAGTTTACGGTTCTGAATTACAATTAATACTTTCTGAAATACAATTGACTAATCTCAATTATAATTAACGTTTTCTGAAATATATCTTACGCTTTCTGTATTACACTTGAAAAAGGTGTAGTTATTTACAATTCATTATTACAATTGTTGCAATAATTTGATTTACAATTTTAGCTTGAACATTTTAAACATTAAAAAATGTGTTAAAACTTTTAAAACCATAAAGACAAATTTAGATTTTTTATTTTTTAATCCCCGGTTGAACAAAGAACCATATATTAGAAGGTAAGTAAACAAAACATAGTTTCGTTTAAAGTTTTCATTAAATGGAACTGTGGGAGGTTTATAAGATTTTATTATATGCAAAGAAGTTTTTTAAAACACAAATACTGACATTGCAGTTGTTTTTGTGAATTTTAAAAGTAATATGTAAAGAAAAAAAATCATCCACCAATTCTTTTCGCAATTGTGAAAAATTTTCATGATGTTCGTTATCTGGTGTTCCCTGTATTTCTTTCTAATAAAATCCTTGAAATTCTTTTTGTGTGGTATTTAACCCCCCTGGAATTCTTCTTTCATCAATTTTTACTAAAAGGTTTTGCAAACAGTGCAAACAATCTTGTCACTTTCTCCATTTCGTTCACCAGATGCTAACCGACTTTTTCTTGAGATAACATTGTCCTTACTTTTTCCATTCAGACTTTACTGATTGTAAAGTGCACATCTGTCAATTGATATGATTGATTAGATCACACTGTATATAAAAAAGGCACAGTTTGATTAGAAAAATCAAGCCAATTTCGGCAAACTTTTTAAACGTGTTTTTGTTTTATGTTAATAGGGTATGCCGGAAGCATGGTCCCGCTTGTTAATGAACTCCAACATCAGCAAACAGGAACAAAAGAACAACCCTCAGGCCGTTCTCGATGTCCTCAATTTTTTCGATAATACAACAAAAGCACCACCGAATACTAAATACATGACGAAAACCACAACCGCAACACATTCAGGTGGGTTAAAAACAATGAAAATGGTATTAATAATTGTAGAATAATAATTTTTAAAGGTTCGTCATTGAGCCGCGTTTCCAGTTCGAGTCCCAGCAGCACAACGCCGACGGAGGCCGAAGGGGGCTCCCATTCCTACCACAGTCCAGCGCATGCCGCCAGTTCCGAAATTGAAGATGAGGCGCCACCGCCACCTATCGCCAGCCGACCCGAACGCACCAAAAGCATTGTAGGTTAATCAAGAAAGAAATTTTTTCAATTATAAACCAAAATTCTAGTACACGAAACCCATCGAAGAGATCCAGATAACAAACAATAGCGTCGGGACGCCAACTCATAGCCTGAGTCCGGCCCACACGACGCCGACACATGGCGCCAACGCGAATTCGACGCCGCCGGCGCCCATCCTCGACAGGAACAAAAACCAAGCCGGTCCTGAAATGTCGAGGGCGGCGTCGGAGAAACGAAAGAAAAAAATGAGCGACGAAGAAATTTTGGAAAAGTTGCGAAGTATTGTTTCCGTCGGTGATCCGAACAGGAAGTACACGAAAATCGATAAGATCGGTCAAGGGTGAGTCGTGGGTGGCGTTGTTGTCGATTTATTTATTTTTTTGTCTTGTTGTAGTGCTTCAGGAACGGTTTACACAGCGATGGAAACGTCAACAGGATCAGAAGTTGCCATCAAACAAATGAACTTATCACAACAGCCTAAGAAAGAACTGATTATCAATGAGATTCTAGTCATGCGAGAAAATAAACACGGGAATGTAGTGAATTATCTAGACAGTTATCTTGTGAACGAGGTAGTGGTGTATTTTCGTGCATTTTTTTTGTAATAAATTGAGTTTTAGGAACTCTGGGTTGTGATGGAATATTTACCAGGTGGTTCATTGACTGATGTAGTAACAGAAACGTGCATGGACGAAGGTCAAATAGCGGCTGTGTGTCGAGAGGTCCTCCAAGCGCTCGATTTCCTCCATTCAAACCAAGTCATCCATAGAGACATCAAATCCGACAACATTCTCCTAGGGCTCGACGGCTCCGTCAAATTGAGTACGTCACCCCCACATTCAACTGTCTCTCCTAACATGATAATTTTCCAGCTGATTTCGGTTTCTGTGCTCAAATTAGTCCCGAACAATCAAAACGAACGACGATGGTAGGAACACCGTATTGGATGGCGCCGGAAGTCGTCACGCGGAAGCAATACGGCCCTAAAGTAATTTCCCTGACAATTTCGACGAACAGCCCAGTCACATTAGACAAATCGGTGGAAAAAAATCCTGGAGAGTTGGATTTTTTTAAACGCTTTCTTTACACTTGGGTAGACATATATCAAAAGTCCCTGAAGGTGGGGGGCGAGCTCGAGGAGGTTGAGGGGGTTAAAGGTGTCTTTTTTTGGTTTTTTGCTTATATCTTGGAAATTATCACTCCTATAGGTTTTTATCTTCTTAGCAAAGCTTACAAAATTTGCTACAAAAATGGTCCTTTGCATTTTTGTTGTAGAACTAACCGTAAGCGAGTTATAGGGCAGAAAAGAAACATCATTTAAAAAAATGTGCTTTATTTGCATTTAAAACAGAATTAGTCTTGTAATTTAAAAAAAAAACTGATAGTAAATTGAATTTACTGGGTCCAATACTTCATTAAAGGAGAACGGAGTCACAAGAGTCTATGAATACAAACTCATCGTTTATGTAATTTATGCAGAATTTTCTGTAGAAGTCTATTTCTGCATCAAAATTTCCTACAAAAATGGTCCTATTTATTTTTGTTGTAGGGCTAACCGTAGGCTTCAAAAGTTTGGTGTCTACATAAAATTGCATTAAAAATCCTTTGAAACACATTTCATTAGTATATGGTAAGTTTTTATATGTATAGAGCGTTCCCCAACTAAGCTGGTCTGTCTGAAAGGTGACTCTTGTGTAAACATTTAAACGGAGATATAAATAAAAATTTTGGATGAAAGAGAGAATCAATCTGTAAGGAGGTTAAATGGGGTGTAAATGTTTAAACAAATATATAAACATAAAATTCTTTAGAGGTGTAAAGGGGCACTAAAATCAGATTTTTCGAAAATTAGTTTTTAAGGGAATAAAACGGTGTACACATTTAAGGGAATATAAAAACATTAAATTTAGAAAATATGATCCTTAGAGAGTGTAAAAATGCACTTTTCCAATTTTAATGAAATAAAATAGAGTTTAAACGCTTAAAAACAAAATTAGAAACATGAAATTTCGAATTTTGAGAGTGCAGAAGTGCACTGAGACGACACTTTATGAAAATAAACATTTAATATTTATCCATAAACATAGCCCATGCGAAGAACGATACTAATATAACTGAATCCTATACATAATATAGGTAATTATCTAGCTTTATAGAGTACCTAAGCCTATGGAATGGTTTTGTGAACGGGCTTTTTCCCATATTATATCAGAAATATACGCGGACAAAATCGCAGGCAAATGCTAGTTCAGCATATAAGGATGACTCGGAAGACTTAATAGACCCTCGTGGCACCCTCTAATAAACTGTTGGATCCAATACATTCAATTTACTGTAAGCTTTATTCAAATCATCGATATTAAATCATCTATTTATTAATATTGTACTGAACAAGACTGTAATTCGGTTTTCAATGTTTAAGCTGAAGACGAAGATGCAGCATATGAGGACGACTCGGAAGACTTTATAGACTCTCTAATGAAGTGTTGCACCCAAAAAATTCAATTTGCTTTCAGTTTTTTCAAATCACAAGATTAATTTTGTTTAAAATGCGGATAAACCACATTTTTTTACATTTTTTTTACAGTTAGTCCTACAACAAAAATGCAAAGGACCATTTTTGGAAGAAATTTTGTAGGCTTTAATTTTGATAAGCAGGCAAAAACCGTTAGGAGTAATAGTTTCCGAGATATAAGCAAAAAAACAAAAAAAAGACACCTTTAGCACCCTCCTCCTCCTCGAGCTCGCCCCCCACCTGATATATGTCTACCCAAGAATAAAGAAAGCGTTCCACCGATCGCCCTATTTTTGTCTAATTTGACTGGGCTAGAAACAGTTGTAATTAAATTGTTTCAGGTTGATGTGTGGTCGTTGGGCATCATGGCGATCGAAATGATCGAGGGTGAGCCACCATACTTGAACGAAAATCCATTGAGGGCGCTTTATTTGATCGCAACCAATGGTAAACCTGATATTAAAGATAAGGAGAAGTTGTCGCCCTCCTTTCAAGATTTTCTAGACCAATGTTTGGCTGTGGAAGTCGACAAAAGGGCGTCGGCGCGCGATTTATTAAAAGTAAGTCCCCTGAGATGTGTTTACTCGTATTCATTTTTGTTTTAGCATCCCTTCTTGAAGTTGGCACGACCGTTGGCCAGTCTCACGCCGCTGATTTTGGCGGCGAAAGAAGCGGCAAAACAACACTAGCGATAAGTTTCAGGCTTTTGTCCTGTTCGTTATCACTTTCTTTTGTATTATATATACGTGACAGACTATATTCCCATGTTACTAGAAGTGCATTCGATTTTTTTAAAACAATAATGTAACATAATCGTATATTTTATTATTTTAGCTTGCAGTTCTAGTTATATGGGTCGTATTTTATTAGGGACGTAAGCATTTAATAGAGGTCTGATGTTGGTATAAGTGACAGGAGACGTGTGCCTAATTTCACAACAATAACGCTGCGTAGGTATTTTTCGTTTTGTTGGATTGGCAACGATGACGAGTCGCATCATTGTCACTTGCTTCTTTTCTATGCTTTTGCGCTTGTTTGATCGAAAATGTGAATTTTATGTAGGTACAGGGAAGTCCCTGTTCTCGGTTTTATTCCTCTTTATAAATTTTATATGACCACTCTGTATTAAAAAAGCCCTAATCATATATTTTAATAATCGAAATTATTTATTATTTTTTATTTTTAAATTTTGTTAACGTTTTAGTTTCATCTATATTTTGTTAAGAAACTTGTAAAAAAATACTAGGAAAAAGCTATATTGTAAAACAAACGCCTGTCAAAGGTCTATGTAGATGAAGAATGAGTGTTAGTCTGAATGATTTAACTAGTTATAGTATTTTTGCACTAGTATTTATCAAAGAAAAATTCATATTGTGATTGCCAAGGTATATTCGAAGGCATATTGTTGCCAATGAAAGATGTGTATGGTAATTAAATAAAATCATTTTATAATTATCAGTTTCCATACCAACTTATCAAAAAAACAATAAAACTCATTTCTTTTTTATCAAATTTATTGTTTCACAAAAATGTAAAGCCTCCTTAAAAATGTTAATTCGATTGCATAAATACACAACAAAAGCTAACAAAAACAAATCGAGGTAAGAAATTCGAGTTTGGCTTTAAATTAGTTAATCACACGTTATGCCCAGTGAAATGGGCACTTTAACAAAAAACAGTAGGCCTAATTAGTTAGTATTATCACTTTGATTCATTAGTGGTCCTGTTAATGCATTAAATCGAGCCCCTCCTAGCTATCACTGCCCTCCTTTTTATCCGGGATGAAATTGAGAGAGGCGGAGTTTATACAGAACCTCTTCCTGGTGGGCATTGGTCCATCGTTGAACACGTGGCCAAGATGGGCGCCGCATTGGGCACAAGTCACTTCGGTTCTTATCCGCCCTGGTTGGGATATGAGGAGTAGTAGGTTCGCTCCAACTAAGTAGGCGGGAAGGAAAAGGACCATGGAATGGGATCAAAACAAAAGCAAACCAAAAAAAACCCAAAACGAAAACAAAAATGTAATTTTGATGTTTTGTACAAAAGCAGATGAAAAAAAAAAAAGGACGAGGGAAGGATAAGGAGAAGATGAAAAGAAAACAAGTCACATTAGCGTCCCGAAAGGAATAAAATACCAACAACACAGATTTAGATTTAGCATAAATTTAGTTGCTGGTCGAGGAAGCGGGATTGGAGGCGCGTTCCAACATCAAGGAAGGTAAGGACTTTTTCCATTTTTTTGTTAACTTAATTTTTGATTTCAGTTTTTTACACAAAACTAAGACTACAAGAAAAATAAGATTTTTACTACTTTAGTTTTCTAGTTCTGTTTTTTGTGATAAAATTACTTTGACTGGATGTAACAATGTAATTTTATTCTTAAAGAAGAAAGTTCAAATTTTAGGGCTATATTTTTTTCCCGCACTAAAACGATCATGTAAAAGAAATGAAAAGAAAATGAGCTCTTTGACCGTATGTCACAAACAATTGCAAATATTTTAAGGAAAATATTGTTTTCAAAAATTTAAATTAATTAATTAACACGAAAATTTATACAGGATGCGCCAGAACTCGCGTCCCAGAGAAAAATGCCATATAAGGTAAGATACCAGGAACATGGAAAAAAATATTTAAAAAATTTTATCTATAAAAATTTCGAAGTTATGTGGGTTTAAAGTTTGCACTTTGACTATTTATTTCTGTTGGAAAAATAATTTTACAAGTTTTTTTGCTATAGGCTATTAAAAGAGGAAACAAGGAAGCTGTATCCTAAATTGTAACTTTGTTCAATGTTATTTGTGGCTTTTATTGGCAAAATCTTTGTTCCTTTACTAAATACATGTAAAAAAACATAATCAATCATCAGTATCATTAAATAGACATAAAAAATGTCAAATGTCAAGAAATAAAAGTCAAAATTTTTTGATAGAGAATTTTTTAAACATTTTTTTCATGTAGTTGAAAAATAGTCAATATTTTCTTTCTCTTTGCTTTAGTTGTTAAAAGATAAATCAATGTTCCAATTACTTATTACTGTTCTATTTATTTACTAATTAAAAACATTTCCCTAAAGTTGAAAACTTTTTGAATATGATTTACTTTCTCGTTTCTCTTTTCCCCAGTGTTATTTTTTTACATGTTTTTTAAATTAATAGTTATTTTTCTACGACTCTAACAGAAAGTAAGTTTTTCCACCCTCTCTGGGAAATAAAAATTTTTCCTCCCCCACAGAAACGGAAAAACATGCTGCTAAATTTAATGGCAAGAAAAATTGTTAGGTTTGAAGTTTTTCTTGCTAATGGATCGTAGGAAAAATTATGTATGTTACAAGAGAGAAAAGTGTATCTTCTCCTCCCACAAAAAAATGTTAAAAAAATTCTATCTATAAAAATTTCGAAGTTATAAGAGTTCAAATTTTGCACTTTGACTCTATTTATTTCTGTTGGAAAAATAATTTTCCAAGTTTTTTTTTTCTATAGGCTATTAAAAGAGGAAACAAGGAAGCTGTATCCTAAATTGTAACTCTGTTCAATGTTATTTGTGGCTTTTATTGGCAAAATTTTTGTCCCTTTACTAAATAATTGTAAAAAAAACATATACAAGATCATCAGTATCATTAAATAAAAAAATGTCAAATGTCAAAAAGTAAATGTGAAAATTTTTTGACAGAGAATTTTTTAAACATTTTTTTCATGTTCCTGGTTTCTTACCCTTACTTGAAAATTTTCTCTGGGGCGCGAGTTCTGGCGCACCTGTATTATTATTTGGCCATGAAAATTTATGATTTCCCTTGATAAGCTTATTTACTTAATTAGGATGTGAGATAAGCAATCTTAAATTTTATAGTGGTTTTCCGCGTCAGATTCTAGGAATAAGTTCGATAAATAGACTTAAAGTAAAAATATACACGTTAGTAAAATTTTCTCAGCGACAAGTTGGACTTTTCATCAAAATTACTAAACAAATTCAAAAAATTGGCATTAAAAGAAATTGATGTTGAAACTAATATAAAATTACGCGGAAATTATTTCAATTAACAAAAGTTATTTGTCGCAGCAAGAATTATAGTTAATTTAATCTTTAAATACTATTACGAAAAATGTCTTTACAAATTGAAAATCTAATCGTTTGCTGATAAAGTATTTATTAATTATGATCTGAAAATAGCTTTGAAGATGACAAGTCATAATTGTGACCCCATGATCCTTTCGTAATTATTTGCTAAGAGTTACATCAACGGAAATCAAAATTTATGGTCCGTGAAGAAATACGATTCTTGAGTTTCCATCTGAACAACAAACGCGTTTCAAACGAACGAACTTGAATTATTTTAAGGCCAAGTTCATTTTCAATTTCCGAACAATAACAATACATTCCGTACTAATCGAGCGAATCAAAATAATTAGGTCGAAATAGATTCAATACATGTTGGAACGTCACAACAATTATGCAAACCTTGACGTGAAGCAGCCACAGGGAAAGTTAAATCGGCGCGTAAAATAAATATTAATTTCTATATTAAAACATGTTACTTTGAACAAGACCTAAATTTAGATAAGAAACAGCCGAAATGCGATTTAAGACGATGCAACTTGGAATTAAGTTCGTTTCTGTTAGGACGTGGTGCAAGGAAGCGCAAAACGCAAGTGGTAAAATAGATATTAATCTATTCAATTCAAAAATTTGTTAGGAAAAACTGACACACTTTGGTCCCAAATGACTGATCTTTTTCCTAACAAATAATTAAGTACCTCCGCTAGTGTCTGGTGTTAATTTGACTTTTCCTTGGTCCAAGACATCGTTGAAGGCAGGCCAGCCGCAACTGCTGTCGTATTTCGTCTCCGAACTGAACAATGATTGCTCACAGACGATGCAAACGTAAGTACCCGAGTCGTAGACTTTATTGTAACACCCTGTAAATGGACAATCAGGTGCATGGTTCAAAAAGGGGGCCCTACCTGTGAACGGTCGCTCAGTGCCCTTTTCTTGGGTCACATGGTATTGTAGCGGAGTGAGGCGTTTCTGCAACTCTGCCTTATCCACTTTGTCGGCCATCCTCACCACTGATGCGGCACAAAATAAAAAAGTGTTATGCGAGCCTAATTTGGAACGAAATGACAGACACCTGGTGTATTCACGAATTTCCTGCTCAAACTGTGGAGTAAAAAGCGACCCACCAGTGCCCCCGTGTGTTTATTCATCACATTTGAACGCGGTCACGATTAGTTGCGCTAATATTTATACAATACTGACCGAATTTCCTTCCACTTGGTATTACGTAAGCGACATTTTGACACTGCACCTAACCTCACTTTGCCGTAACCAGAACCACCACTAGTAATATTGTAATTTATACTTTTTTAATTTTTTTTGAGTTTATCAGAAATTTTCTCGATAACTATTTATTGTAAAACACTGATCTTTTTTATATATGATAGAAAATTTAATTCTCTCAAAAAAATTCATAAAACGTTATTGGGTCAAATTTAAAAAATTACGAATTTTTTGAGTTTTTGAAGGTGAGCGGTAGTAAAATCGTAAAAATAGTCAATTTATCTTAAGTCGTAAAAACGGTTGAAATATGGTTTTCTAGACGTAAAATTACTCGCTGAACACGATGCGACTAGTTAAAATACTCTACGATGCATAGTTTTTGAGATATTGAGTAATAAAGTTAAGAATAAGGCTAAAGGTATAAGCACTATATCCGATTTTGACCAAAAATCAACATTTTTTTATTCTTATGAAAAACTAGTACTATATGTAAAATTAACCGGAGAACACGCCTGTATAAACCCTGTTGACCTAAGACTCATAGTTTTTGAGATATGAATTTTTTTTGAATAAAACTAAAAATGGCTCTGTACCCGGAGCCATAACCCGGAGCGACTTCCGGTTTGCGCCAATAAATAGATAATTTCAAGCTACTTTTAATGGTTTTTACCGTTTTGCTTTAAATCTTATAGTTTCGTAGAAAAACGCGTTTAAAGTTTCACAATTTTGAGAATTTTCACTTTTTGAACGGCGATTACGGCCAAACTATTAGACTTAGAGCAATCAGTCCAACTCCATCGTAATCAGAGTAAGAAAATCTATCGACTGAGGCCAAAGCCAAGTCGATATCTCGCAAAAAAAATTTGAATTTTTAAACGCCGATTACGGCGAAACTAAAGGAGATAGCACAAAGTGCTTGGCAAATTCGTATTCAGCGCGTCAAAATCTATCGGATAAGATAGGTTTAAATCGAATCTGAGACATGTTCAAAAACACTAGTTTTTAAGGGGGGGGGTGTTAACAATTTTTTCGTTTTTTTTATTTTGCAAATTGCGGCAAAACTGTACCTCAATGTAATGTTTTGACCTAAACCTATGTAAAATTTTCCGGGGAATCGATTGGCGTCAAGAAAACTGCAAAATTCGTAGTAGTTTTGAAGTTATAGTCGGATTTAAATTTTCGATATTTTTGACTTTATCAGAAATTTTCTCGATAACTATTCATCGTAGAACACTGAACTTTTTAATATATCATAGAAAATTCAATTTTCTATCCAACAGTACCAAATATAAGAGGTTATCTCCAATAAGTCCGGAGTTATTGCCATTAGACCGCTCCGGGTACCAAAAATCGACCAAAATTTCGACAAAAAAAAAAAATTAACTTTAAAATTGCTCCATTTTACGTTTTTTACATTTCTAGAGGTCTTAAAGACTCAAATTAGTGCATAAAATGTTATTGGGTCAAGTTTCAAAAATTTTGAATTTTTTGAGTTTTTGAAGGTGAGCGGTAGTAAAATCGTAAAAATAGTCAATTTACTAAAAATCGTAAAAACGGTTGAAATATGGTTTTCTAATCGTAAAATTACTCGCTGAACACGATGCAACTAGTTAAAATACTCTACGATGCATAGTTTTTGAYATATTGAGTAATAAAGTTAAGAATAAGGCTAAATGTATGAGCACTATATCCGATTCTGACCAAAAAATCAAAAAAAGCATTTCGTATACAGGTTCATTCACGTAAGATTACCAGAATAAAATACAAAATAGCTATATTACACTCATCTTCTTACGTGAATTTCTCATAATTTCTCTTTCTGGTATTAGAAAAAAAAAACAACAATTTATATTTTTTAATCAAATTAAGCTTTTTTATAACGTTTCATCTAATACTTACATTAAAATTACAATTAGTGAGCAGCAACAGAATATTTTTAGATAGTTACCTGCATAAATATTTGTGTTTACTTTTCATTATAGTCATAGTATCAACATGACAATAAATACCATATTAATTAAACAAAACAAAAAAACTCTAAAGCAGCCAACATCTTCATAAAAGAGTGTCTATAAGCCTTAAATGAGGGTCACACAGTATCGTTTCATTGTGTATTTTTACACAATCGTTAACAAAACGACGATAAAAATAATAAAAATATCTAATCACATTTTGGTGGTTTTCCAGTTGTATTATATTTATTATTTCATAATATTTATTATAAATCTTAATAAAACAGTAAATTAAAATTACATCTATTACCCAATAACTTGCAAAAAGACACATGCATAAAACTGTAGCTTTTAATTGGCGCTCTTGACCTGTTATACCGGACCTTACAATAAATTATTTCGAGTCATAAAACCCAATTTTAAAAAATTAGTGTTTCTCGACAGTAGCATAATGAGACTCCCAGTCTGGCTCAATAATAAAATCTCTGCTTTTGGGTCGGTGCAACGGCGGTTCGTACTTCCAAGGGGGTTGTTTAAAAGGCACAGCTAAAGACAGTTGCCAAATCACTCAAAAACAACCAAAATGGGCAATACCTGTCCCAGTGGGCAAAATATCAATGACATAAAGCCAATACAGCGCATGGGCCACCACCCACGACAACCAAATCATCTCCTTATTGTAAAAAAACGACGTGCGTTTTTGGGGCCATACGAAAATCAATCCTTTTTGTTGAAATTTCGGTTTGTTCAGATTTTTAGGTATTAGGATTTTCTTGTAAATGTCATCACGGGAAGGTTTTTCGAAAAAATTTGTCGGTTTCGTTCGAACCCCTGAAAATATGTAATGGTTGAGACTGATTATGGGGGTGGTTTTGGGGCCCGGTAAAGGTCTTAAACGGTCGGAAGTCATTCTACTTGCGTTTTGATCTTCGACTGGAATTTTGCGCGGCAGTTTCAAATTTTTTTGACATGTGTCAAATTTTTACAACTTTAAAACTTAAATTTACCATATTTTCAAAATTTAGTGTTAATTTTTGGTTTAACGAGAAGAGGTTTTCTTGGTGAGTAAAATTCAGACTTTCGAGTTTTAATTTTTAATTTTTACTTATCGAATGATAAATTATTAACAACTTTTTCAGAAATGTTTAGAAATTAATGCCGACTTAGATCTAATTTCGAAATTATCTATGCAAATGAACTTACAACTTAATTCTGATAAATGTACAGTCGCGGCCATTGAAAAGTAATACACTTGACAAATAAAAAAAATTTGGCGTTGTAAATTTTCACTTGAAATTGACAATCACCGTCATGTTTGCATTTTAAACTAGAATCTTCTTCTTTGTTTTAAGGACAGTTATTTTGTTCACATTTATTTCTCCTGCGATGACTCGTAAAGTGACATTGTCCCTTAATCTTGTAATAATAGATTTCTGTACATTCGACAATTTGTCAAAAGTGACGTTTTCAGTGACACTGACAATCACGACAAAGAAAAAATTACATTATGCAATTTTTTAAATTTTGGGATGTGTCAAAATCCAGTGTATTACTTTTTAATGACCGCCACTGTACAGTTATATGCTTTGCTAGCAGCAATACTTGGGATGTAATTAAAAATCAATTAAATATTGTTATTAATAATAAAAAAAATTCTTGTGTCTGACTCAATTAAACACTTAGGACTCATAATAGATGATGATTTTCGTTTTAAGTCTCATGTTAATATGGTCCTAAAAAAATCTTATTCTTCCCTTAAATTATTATACGCAAACTATTTAATTCTGAATTTTAAATTACGTAAAAAAATTGACAGAAAGCTTAGTTATATCATTTATGAAATACTGCTTAATCTTATATTATCCCTGTTTAGACAATATCACAAAATATAAATTACAAAAAATCCAAAATAGCTGTTGTAGGTTCATCTTTGGCTTAAAAAAATACATTTATATGTACAGGGTGCTGCATTTTGGATGTCCGAATAGGGAATCTCCGAAACTAAGAGATTTAGCCAAAAACGAGTTATACATTCTGGGGCTCATTTTTTGAGAAAATAATATTGGTTAAAACCGCATCCCGCTACGTCTTTTGTTTTCGACTTATAGACAAAAATTGACATTTTAGCAAAATCTAAAAAAATTCATATCTTCGTTATTATAGAAGACACAGATTTGAAATAAAGACACTTTTTTACGTAGAATTTAATGAAGTTAACAATTTTTTTCAGTTGTTTATTTAGCAGTAATAAAATAAACTTGTATTTTTTTAAATGGGAATCATAGATGGCTATGTCATTTTTAAAAAGCTTGTTTTTTTCTTATCTAAAAAATATATATTTGTAACAAATTATTATAGTACATTTTTAGCAAAAAATTATCTTTGATTTTTGTTCGCAGTTGGCCATGAAAAAATGTTGCATCTTCAACTAAAAGGATTTAAACTATATTATATTCAACCAGTGTCACTAATGAAAGAGTTTTCTAAGTACTAAGTAATGGAAAAGATGCAAAATAAATTGTAAATCAACTTACTGGCGACTAATAACATTTCTTTGTTTTTAAACAACCTAACATTACCATTGCAACTTCTAGTGATACATAGAGTGTTATAAAAAAAAGTCCCTTTAATTCTTCAATAAAATATATTTTATATGACACAAAAATGACGATATGGCTACTCAAATACCCAAATTCCGTCTATGTGAAACGTTATCCTACCTCCATTAGATCATCAAAAAAAATGTTTTTTGTAATTGTGTTGACTGTTGACACATTTGTTTTTCCTATTTTTTGATTTTTTAAAAATATGTAACAATTTTGTTCTGGGGCGCTCGGATATTTGTTCAATGCTTCTACCGTATCGTATTTTTTAAATCTTTATAATTTTATCTATTTTTCTATCTATTTTACAGTTCACAAAACTCTTATTGATTATTATTTACACATTTGGAGTGAAATAGTTTTTCCATGGTCAACAATTATCACAAAAAATATGTATTTCACTTTTTAAGTATAGTTATAAAAAAATATTTTGTTACAAATATATATTTTTTAGATCAGAAAAAAAAATTGCCATAGCCGCCTATGATTTCCTTTTAAAAAAATACAAGTTTATCTTATTACGGCTAAACTAATAACTGAAAAAAATTGTTAACTACATTATTAAATTCCTCGTTGAAAAGTGCCTATATAATGCCTTTGTTTCCAATCTGTATCTTCTATAATAACAAAGATATAATTTTTTTTAGATTTCGCCAAAATGTCAACTTTTGTCTGTAAGTCGAAAACAAAAGACGATAGCGCGATGCGGTTTTAACCAATATTATTTTCTNTAACTACATTATTAAATTCCTCGTAAAAAAGTGCCTGTATAATGTCTTTATTACAAATCCGTATCTTCTATAATAACGAAGATATAATTTTTTTTAGATTTCGCCAAAATGTCAACTTTTGTCTGTAAGTCGAAAACAAAAGACGATAGCGGGATGCGGTTTTAACCAATATTATTTTCTCAAAAAATGAGCCCCATAATGTATCACTCGTTTTTTGGCTAAACCTCTTAGTTTCGGAGATTCCGTATTCGGACATCCAAAATGCAGCACCCTGTACATTTATGTTTAAACTTATGACAACTTTGTCTCCATCCTACCTTGGAAATAAATTCAGATTTAGAAAAAGCATGCATAATAGAATTTCTATGCCTCACATCTCACATCTTTCAACGTTCTTTAGTTTTTAATGGTATCAAAGTTTTTAATTTTACTGCTCTTTTTGAGTTGAATGTTTCGGTGAATAAATTTCGTACACTCTACAAAGATTTCTTGTTTTCACATGGTTAACAGTTATTTATGATTTTTTTCTCGTATAATATTTTTAATTATTTTGGGGTTGAGCTTAGTAGTCAATTTTGATATATTTTTTTGTTGTTTCATTTTTATTTTTATTATTATTATACATACAGGGTGTTTCACGTAATTTTACGAAAAATTTTATGAAAAATTGGATAATCTTCTCTAGTTTGTTCACCCTTTTAAAAATTACAACGTTATTTAGTGATTAAGATAAATAAACTAGCATACTCATGCCGTCTCTTGATAAAACAAATGATAATTGTTTCTGAAAAACTGCAGTTTATGACCATTAATGAAACAGTGATTAGTTTGACAACTACTGTCATGGGTTTCCAAAAGTTAAATATTTAAATGTGTATTTTTTGTATACAGTGTTCTGTGACTTTTGTATATTTGGGTGCGAAAATTAGGCGCAAGCCTCGTAAAGTTATCTGAAACTCCCTGTATATATCTATTTTTTTATATTTTGGGGGTTGAGTTAAGTAACCTTCAGCTAGACTTCGCCCCACAGAGTTTGTATTTTATTTATTTGTTTTTTCTAATAAAGGTCTATTATTATTACTATTATTAATAAAAAAACAGATTTCAAACAAAACTTGTACATAGGATCCATAGATGTCGCCCGGCCGCGCCTGCCACGTTGGTTGCCTAACCAGTTTATTTTTTTCTGTCAATATGTCTTCATGTTTGGCATTTCCACATTCTAAATGATCGAAAGTGGACGTTCTCTCACAAAATGTTGAAAACTTTGTCACTGCTGCGTTCGGTGTGATGAATAATGAAGAATTTGAAAAGCGTGTCGGTGCAAGTGATTGACAGCGACATAGCCTTGCTGTTGCCGAATGGTGTGTATGAGATAAAACAAATGGAGCCAAAATCTTCCAGGTTGAGACGAATAGGGATTTTCTGCGTGGCTCTCGCCCTCTTCGGCATCGTCGGCTTCGGCTACTTCTGTCCAGACAAAGTAAGCAATTTTTCATTCATCATTCTTGTGCGTGAGCAAACATGTTGCAGGTTTGTGCCCTTAGCAATAAAGAAGCCTCCATATCATTAGAAGACAACTTCGGGAAGTCGCTCTCTCAAGCCAGTAGCAAAGTAGGTTTAAGTTATGAGGATATGTTGAATGACGATTTTTTCGACATGGACTCACACGACGTCATGGTGTTCCTCCACATGCAGAAGACTGGTAAGTTTTCTTGTCAACACGACTTGCACCAACTTTGGATAGCGTAAACAAAGGAAATTAGAGACGTTTTTGTTCCACTGACACCATATGGGTAGCTGTAAACACACATCAAAGGGTTGAAAAGTTTATGTGTGGACATGTGCTACGCTGGGAATTGTAAATAAAAACCAATTAAAGTGAAATTATATTTTTTTGCGATCAATGAAATAAATTTTTGGACAGAGTGGCCTCTGACTTTAAAATTAAGTTGGCAACATTGAGTAATGTAGATAAACGTGTCATTTTTCATATCATTTGTCTCTACATTACTCAATCTTGCCAACTTGATTTCAAACTCACAGGCCACTTTGACCAGAAGTTTAATCGAACTGTAGCAACACTTTGGGACTCCCTATATGAAAATAAAATGATGCCAACTTAATTTTTAAAGTCAGGCTAATTTGATCAAATTTAGGGCTGTATCCACATTTCAATACGAAATTTTCAAATAAAAATTGAATTGTACAGTTGGAGACAAAATATATTTTTAGCTATTGTCAATCATAGTTGACAAGTTGTATGTACATATTTTTGATAGGAAAATTCATTCATTCATTTTAAAGTTAAAGCTTCAATTACATTAAAGTGTTAGAAAAGTGACGACCAAAGTATTTTGGCTCCAACTGTACTCTTTTTGAAATAATGTAAAACTATTTTTATGGTGTTATTATCATTTGATAAATATTAAAAGAAATAAAGAAAAGTGTTGATTTGTACAATCTCCTTGACTGTTGATCTCTTTTGTCATTAAAAAACTTACATAAGAAAGGGAAAACCAAAAAAGTGTTTTTATTACATATTTTGCACTTCGTGACTTGAAAAAAACAAGATTTTCGACATGCAAAATTTTTAATTTTGAGTTTTTTTTACAGTCATTGTAAATGTGAAATGAAAGCATATTAATAGAGCTACAATATACACTTTAATAAGACACATTTTGCACTTTGAAACACTTTAGTTTCGTTTTTAAAAATGAAAAGTTCCTTTTCGTGTGAATTTGAAACACTATACGTGGTGTGTCAGAACTCACGCCCCAGAGAAAAATTCCAAGTAAGATAAGATACCAGGAACATGAAAAAATGAATCTGTAAAAAAATTGACATTTAACATTATTTTATGTGTATTTATTTAATGATACTGACGATCTTGTATACGTTTTTTTATAATTTTGCCATCAAAAGTCACAAATAACATTTTAAACAGTTACAATTTAAGATACAGCTTGTATTTTTTTTTTTTTTGATAGAATTGTTTTAACTTTTTTTTTCCATGTTCCTGGTATCATACCTTACATTTACTCTGAGGCGCGAGTTCTGGCGCACCTTGTATTACCGTTACAAAAACAATGTTTTGTTTTATAAGAGCAAAATTATTAATTTATTCAAAAATTCATAAGCTTTTGGAAGTTATTATTATTTCCGTGTAATTGTAAATTATTATCAGTAAAATAAATGTAACTATTCAATTATTTGGAACACATGTTGATGGTTTTATTTGTTTTTTTCCCTCGCAACAATTAGTTTAAAAAAATTCCCACATCATTTAGTCTAGTCATTTGCCAGTTTGATAAAAATAAACAAAAGATATTAAATTCGTTATTTTCGAATCGTTTACAAAGGAAGTTGTTGGCGTGTTTATAATTTAAAACGATAGTTATCCAGAAATAACCTTCAGTCAGTTTATTTAATAATTTTACTTCATTTGCTATTTTCCCATTTTATTTAATGTGGGATATTATTTTTTTTTTAACAGACGAAATTTTAAATAATACAAATCTACATATTTAGTATGTTTGCGTTCATATCTTTGGATTATTTACTCAGAAACGTAAGCATAAATTTTATCACTGTGAATTTTTTTACAAAAATTGTTATCTTGTGTACATAATTTAATAATTTCTATGTAATTTTCTCTATATGGAAAGTATGACGAAAGGAGGAGTCATTTTTTAATTGAAAGTAATAAGAAAATGCGGTTAATGCGAGGTTGGAACAAAAGCCCTTCTATGAAAATGGGTTGGGGAAAATCCCACTTTTTTATTTCAGAATAACGGTGAAGTGGGTTTTTGCAGTTACGTCTTGACCCAATTTTTTTACAAGGCATAATAACGTAATCCTGGTACCTGATTAAGCTTTCTCGTAATTTATAATCAAGATACTCCCAAGATCACGTTTCATTTTAACAGTCGTTTGTACGTGTGTTAAATTAATTAGGGAAATTATCGAAGGCATGTTTTGCACATCTAATTGATTTGCAGCGAAATGGATTCTGATTTAAAAGCTTTCAGTTGCGGATTAAAAACAGAGTGCTATTCATTACAAAGTAGTTTAACTCTTTCAGGGACGGTGGTTTAAAATTTAACCCACCTTTTTAACTCACCTTAATTTATATTTTTGAGCAGTTTTGCTCATTAATGGTAATATTTTTAATAATACTGACATTATTCTTGTAGAGTTTACCACATTTTTTTTATTTACAATCAATGCACTTAAAATTATTATGAAAACTATTTATTAATTAATTTGAAATACCTACATTTTTATGACACTTATTTTAACTTAAAAAAATGTATTTCGTATTATTCTTAGTTTTTTGAGGTATGAGTGGTATGTCCTGATGTTGTGGAAAATTACAACAATAACATGAACTTTGTTGATAAATTTGAAATTTCATGACGTACAGTGATGGACAGTGCATTTGGTCCACCCAATTTCTGTGAATTCACAAAAATTCACTGTAGCCTGTGCTTTATTGTCATGATAACTGACACTGTCAAGTTTAGTTAAATTCTTATTCATTTTGGACCGAATTTCCAATCTAAAAATGGATTGGTACTATACCTCAAGCAATGTAAGACAAAGCGCAGGTAAAAAGTATGTAAGGAATATCGAGCATTTTGTCAACATGATAAATGTTCATCAAAGTTCTCAAACAAGGTTAGAAAAACCTAAAGACTAATTTACACTTTTAGTCTGTCATGGAAATTATTTGGACGAAATTCACTGTCCGTCACTGTACTCAATTCAAAGAGTCAAAAATGGTGGCACTGAATTTTTTTCTATTTCGTTGATACTTGACTTTCAGTGTGTAACTTGTAGAGTGTCTCTTTGTTAAGGCAAACAGAAAAACTGCTTTCAAGCATATTATTACAAAAAATAATAACTTTTGTTAGCTATCGTACGTATTATTTAGTTTGCTTTTGTTTTTATTATTTGTTGTTATTTTTCTTTGTTCATTATAATACTATTTTATTTTCTTAATATATTTTTTTAAATGCCTATTGTGTCACTAAATAAGTAATAGATAATGACTACTTCATATTAAGAATGCTTTGAAATTATCAAAAATGTACGAGATTTCATGAGGGGTTCATGAAGTTAATGAGATTACCGGAGAAAGTAAAAAAATCTGAAATCTAAAATAATTGGTCCTAGACCGATGAAAAACTGTCGTCAGTGCTATTTTAATGTCTATTTTTTAAAACAACTTGAAAAATGATTATTTTTAAAAACTGTGCAATTAAAAAAATCATATTTTTTAATAATACATAATACAGTACAACCTCGACTATCCGAACTAATTAATTTGGAGCTTTGACTTTAGTAATACGAACTTTTACAGTTTGTTATTAAATAGTTCAGTTTTTCAACAAAATTCTTGGAAATTTCTTTTAGTTTTTAAATTAATTTTTTTTTACATATTTTTACTAGCAATCAATGTACTATGAAATTTTTTTTTAGTTAAAAATAATCAAAAATAAAGCAAATCAAAAGTTGCCAAACAAAATTTTTGAAGTTAACCGCTTATCAATTATTACAAAAAGTCTTATTTTCATGTTGTTTTTCCACAGAGAGCCAAAAATACCTCTTTATAAAGAAAAAGTTTGAAAGGAGAGACTAAATTTCCATTTTTGTTTTTTATTACTATACAGGCTGTATTATAAAAAACGCCCCAAGCCATAATTTTATTACTTTTAAAGGCGTTATAATACTTTTTTGCTCAAAGTTGAACAGTCTTTTCTTATCAATCGTTTGCTTGTCTTAGATAAAATAAATAAAAATGTTCAATTCTTTCCACAGCCTACTTTTTTATTTTATTTAATTATCAAACTGCTTTTTGATGAAAAGTTGGTGATAAATAATAGTAAGTAAGCTTGTTGAAAGGCAAATTAACGAGGAATCCAAAAATAATAAAATATACAGGGTGTTACATTAAAAAGAACTGAAATTAATCTCACTTCCGGTGAAACAGCAAGTAGCATTGATTGAGCATCTATGCCAAACAATAGATGACAAGAAATTGTTCAACTTTGTTCTAAGAACTATTGTCATATCTTTAAAAATAATGGAGTTATGGCTTGGGGCGTTTTTTATAATACAGCCTGTATATCTATTTTTTATTCTTCTTTTGGAAATTGAATAACTTCGGCCCATCGAAGTTTAAATAAATAAATAAATAGATTTTCCAGTAAATAGCTGTACCTGACGGTATTTTAAATACAGTCGAACAAAGTGAAAATGACGGATTGCAAACTTGACGTAGTTTCAAGATAAATTCCTTTAGGAACCGGTTTACAGAAAGCGAAATGAAAATTTAGTTCACAATTATTAAACTAATTCGAATTAAGTCGCCATTTATTTTGCATTGACAAAAGTCAAGTTAAATGAAAATGTAATTTTTTAAATGAAAAATTTAACAAACCATTTATTGAAGAAAATTATGCATTAATGATGACATTGGCGAAAAAACAAATCATTATTTGTTTAATATTTTTTTAACTGTTTCAAAAAAATTATTTTATAAATTATTTATTTTACATAAAATCAAGTTTAAAATAGAGAAAGCCTATTTCGTACAAAAATTATGTTACTTAATTTAATTTTATTATTAATGCACAATTTTCTTTAAGAACTGGTTTATGTTAAATTGTGTTTTTATAAAACTAAACGTTTTTATTTAATTTAAAAGTATTACAATTACCAAAAAATAAAAGCAGAACTAAAATATTTGAAATAATTTCGCCGTTTTTTTTCCAGGTTTAATTAAATAAATAATTTTGATTCGTTTTCAATGACAATCGCAAAACTAACAGAAAACTTAGGGCCGGTTTACAGAACGTGTTAATCGCAATTGAATTTTAAACTTGACGTTTGTCAATGCAAAATAAATGACAACTTAATTCTAATTAGTTTACCTAATTCTGAATTAAATTTTAATTTCGCTTCTACTCAAAGAATTACACCACACGTGGAATTAATTTTTCTTCTCGCAAATAAACAATAGTTTAATTCATTTGTTGTTTTACATAAAACCTAGTTTAAAATAGAGAAAATCTATTTCGTTCAAAAATAATGTTAATTAATTTTGTTTTGAAAAAACAGTTAAAAAAATATTAAGTTAATAATGATTTGTTTTTTCGTCAATGTCATTATTAATGCATAATTTTCTTTAAGAAATGGTTTGTTAAATTTTTCATTAAAAAAATTCAATATTTTCATTTAATTAATTTGACGTTTGTCAATGTAAAGTAAATGGCAAATTAATTCTAATTAGTTTAATTCTGAATTAAATTTTAATTTGGCTTTCTGTAAACCAGCTCCAAGAGGAATTTATGTTGAAACTGCAAGAAGGGTTGGCATCCAGCAGGTGTTGGTTTATTGAGGCATCATTTTCATTTTGTTCGACTGTACATTAAAGTGTGTATCTGAAAGGATTTTGGTCGAGTTTTCGTTTAAATTGCAATTGGATTTTTTTGTTCTTGCAGGTGGCACGTCCTTCGGCAAGCACCTCGTGCACGACCTTGACTTGAAACGTCCGTGCACCTGTCCTTTGACCCGGAAACGTTGCTACTGCTTCCGTCCGCATTCCAACCAATCGTGGCTCTTCAGTCGCTACACCACCGGCTGGAAATGCGGCCTCCACGCCGACTGGACCGAACTGACCAGTTGCGTGGACGAAAAACTCGACGAACTCGAAGGCAACGTCGTCAAACGTCGCTATTTCTACATCACCCTCCTGCGAGAGCCGGTCGCCCGATACTTGAGCGAATTTCGTCACGTGCAACGTGGCGCCACCTGGAAGGGCTCTCGACACTTCTGCAGAGGTCGTCCCGCCACCGACGAGGAAATCCCCCCATGCTACGACGGCCCGGATTGGGGCGGCGTCGCCCTCGACGAGTTCATCAACTGCGAGAGCAATCTAGCGGTGAATCGACAAACTCGGATGTTGGCCGATCTCGAATTGGTGGGTTGTTACGATAGGAATTACATGTCAAAGGCGGATAGAGATAGGACAATGTTAATAAGCGCGAAAAAGAATCTCGAATCGATGGCGTTTTTCGGTCTCACTGAGTACCAAAAAATGTCGCAGTATATTTTCGAAGAGACGTTTAATTTGAGATTTGCTGTGCCATTCGAGCAAAACAATGCAACCGTTTCGAGTTCGACAATGACGACTTTGACGGCCGAACAAGCAACTAAAATCGAAGCGTTGAATAGTCTCGATATCGAATTGTATAAATACGCCAAAGAGTTGTTATTTAAACGATTTGATAGGTTGAGGGCGAGAGATAGCGATTTTGATAAGAGGTATAGCCATTTGGGGGAGTTGACGGCTAGGAGTGGTGTCACCGAATTCGATTGGGATAGGCTAGTCGAAGATGTGACCGTTTCGCAATAGGGGTGATTATTTTTGGGACACTCTGTATACAGAGCACGTGGTTTGTTTGGGGAAATGCGGTCATCACTGGACGATAAAATATGACCCTGACTGATTTAACCATAATTGGACATTTTTATATTTCCGATATTAGTTTAGATAAGATAAAAAAATTAAATTAGAAAAGTAGGTAAACAAGTAGGGATTTTTTTTATCGTCACTGAATGACCGCTTCTCGGCTATCATGCCAGCGACGCGACAATAAAGTGACAAACGGAAATAGAAATACCGAACAAAGGACCGTTTTCTATTCTAAAATTAGCTTGACACGTTCAATTGCCACAAAACCGTCTTCAAATTTGCAAAATGCAAGCCCCACACACACAACACCATCACCAGTGATCCAAAAATCACTTGTTTTAGTCTCATTTGTAACACTGCCTTTTTTAGTTAAGATTAGATTTTATTAATGCCAAAGACAAATATTCTAGATGCAGCTAACTTATTTTTAGGATTATTTTAGTCGTTTAGTGCAATTGTAATTTCAACCATTAAATTAATGACAGGGTTAAGTAATTGAACTGATGCCGTAATTTTTTAAGACAATCTGGTGCCCTATTATTGTGATTATTGTTATATTTTGTGTCGTGCAGTTTTCAATACTGTGTATTGCATTTATTTTAAATTTTAGATTTTAATGATATTATTACGAACATATCGACTCCTTATTGTCATCTCATTTAATTTGACTGATTTCGTATAGTTTCTAGTACTTAGTTTTTACCGAATTAGTTTAAAACTCCTGTAACATATATTTAGGTGCATATATCATACGAGTACGTACAAAAAATATATACTTTTTACAAGAATTTTTCTTCTTTACCTCCGATTTTTAAGACATTTTTAGTGATGAAATATTTTATTGAATGTATTACATGATATGTTAAAAGTGTGACTTAAATATTTGTACGATTATAAAGAGAAAGCGTAACTGTCTTTTAAACTCTAATTATTATTACAATACACTTTGAAAGAGATGCATTGGATGGAGATTTTTCACATTTTATACATTCAAGTCTTAATTATACATTTATACACATTTACTGTTATTTGTTCATAAATCTATTAAAATTAAAATAAATAATTAAAAAAATATAAATAGTATAAAAAATACTGTGATGTATGGATCACTCGATCTTTATATTAGAGCAAGGACTGTTCAAGCATAATTTTCTCAAACCCTGAAGGCGGCGAATAATTGAAGTTATCTAGAATTATGTCTAAGATGGCACCATCATCAACTACAAAAAACTTGTTATAAACCCACAAATACGACAAAATCCATACCATAGAGAGCAGGAAACACCGTCCCTTTGACATTAGTCACCCCAAAATCAATTTCAGTCCCATTTACGTAAAACTTGAGCTGGATGTGATCGAAAGACACCCCAACAATATCCCCTTCTTGAATGCCAGCGATTTCGCCAGAAGCACCACTCGAAATGTTTATTTTATACAATTCCTGTTTATTGTGTCTAATGATGTGGTCACTGCAAAGGCACCACGAGAATTCATCCATCCCCCCTTTGGTCAAACTTAGATCAGTCTGTCTGGTCGCCAGGCCTATCGACCAGGAGCCCCCCTGTTGCACCTTAACTTCAAAGTACGACTTGGACTGGACGAGGGGGGCGTTGCCTAGAGCTGCACCGGCCCCACACACCCGTTGGCCCCCTTTTACTATCACAACTTCATAGCCTACGAGCACAGATGTAGGGTTAGCAACGCTGGGGAGGAGTCTTACCCATAAAAGCCGTATCTAACTGGATGGGGCTTTCTCGGGGGATGTGGGGAACGGTTGAGTTGAACTTGAAACCATCTAAACAACCCCGGAGACAACAAAACACCGACACGGTTGACATTTTTATTTGCATAACCTTAAAATTTTCGTTTGACAGGTAACACCTCTGACGTTTCAGTTTTTGACAAGAACACAAAAATATACAGGGTGTTTACGGTCTTAAAGTTGACACTTGAAATCACTATCACAAATTAACCACCAGATGGGACACTCTTCTATTTATGAATGAAAATAAAATCGGAGTCGACTGTGATTGGCTAATCCAAACTATGCCGTATTTGGATTAGTTTATTTGGTGAGATTGTTGGTGCTATTGCATATATTGCCAACCGAATCCCCTAAACTTTTGTTTAGTAAGTGTAATAAATGTATTTAAAAATTTGTTAATTAAAAATAGAGGAGCACCTACACAACTTAAATATCCACTAAAATTTTGTTAATACTTAAAAATAATACATAATAATAAATAATCTTTAAAAACAATTTAAAAAGTTACATACTAAAAAAAAATTGCACAAAAATTTTTAACAAGTTGAAACATTAAAGTTAAACATTTTTCTCAGTCTTGCTACCAAACAAATTAGTTTAAAACTCCAAAAATTGTAAAAATTAAAAAATCAAGTTAAAATTTGTTTGATAGGTGACAAGTGCACATGCGCAGTTGCTGTTTATAAAAAAATAATTCAATTTTCAAAAATGTAAATTAATACACAGGCGATTACGAAATTTTTGTCATTCGACTGACAAAAATGTAAAACGGGCCTTAGGCAACTAACCTCACTTTCGGTTTTTGTAATTTTTATTCTGAAATAAAATACAACAAATCAAAATAATTTATTGAACTTATGTAAAAACACATATTGCTGGCATTATTGTTTCGGAAAATCGACGCCAAAAATACATTTCAACTAAAACTTTCATAGTGTTAAATGTCAATCATAATGACATTAATGACAATAAAGCGTGGCTTACATTGACATTTTTTGAACTAGCATAAATTTGATGTGTAAAATTCCGTGTCCGCCACTACATTCTCTTAATAAACAAACATTCAAAAATATTTGTTGTTTTATTCATGCCCCCATTTTTCCACCGATTGATTGATGTAAAAATTGTGTTGTTTACGTGGGGCTCACTGTGCCCCCACGTGTCGATCTTACATTTTTAATCACAATTGATTAAATCGATAATCACTCCAAAATTGGACTTTGAGCGCTGTGGGGAGTGGGAACAAGAAGACCTTCAACAACTTGTTGCTTGTGATGTTTATAAAATGGATCGCATTCTCAAAGGTATAATGAGGTACAGAAGTGTCAAAAAGGAAAAAATGGTCAAGCAGTTCAAAGAGGTCAAAGACAACCCAACGGTGAGTCGTTTAAAAAATTAGAAAAAAAAATGCGCCATGTGTTTGTTTTTTGGGCGCATGCGCACTACAAAGCGCCAATTTTAATTTTTTTTTTCCCTTAGCCGAAAGCTGTTTTCTTCACTTGCATTGATAGTAGAATGATACCGACAAGATTCACTCAAACCAATGTGGGGGACATGTTTGTAGGTAAAAACAGCCTTTTGAAATAATTTAAACAAATCCAAATTTTGTTTTTGTTTTAATCAGTGCGTAATGCTGGCAATATCATCCCCCATTCGCAACACTTCTTAGACGAGCTCACCACCAACGAGCCCGCAGCCCTAGAGCTGGGCTGCGTAGTCAATGACATTCGCCACATCATTGTTTGCGGCCACAGTGACTGCAAAGCCATTAATCTCTTATACAAATTACAAGACAGCGAATTTGCTTCTCAGGTAACACTCGTTTTATTTAAAAAAATCAAACTTAATTTTTCTCAGGACAATCGCAGGATATCCCCCCTTCGCGCCTGGCTCTGCACTCACGCCCTGACCAGTCTTGAAAAATTCCAACAATTGGAGGTGACCGACTACGGAAAACCCCTCATTTTTCAAGCCGAAACACCCATGAGGAAATTCGTCGCTTACATCGACCCCGAAAACAAATTTACAATAGAAGATAAGCTATCGCAAATCAATACCCTACAACAGTTACAAAACATCGCAAGTTACGGGTTTTTGAAGAAAAGATTAGAGAAACACCAGCTGCACATTCACGCTCTTTGGTTTGATATTTACACAGGGGAGATTTACTATTTCAGTAGGGGGGCGAAACGATTTGTCGTCATTGATGAGGAGAACCTCGACAAATTGCTCCAAGAGGTGGAAAAATACTATTCCTGAAACGATTTCAAGGCTGTGTTTTTGTTAAATAATTTATTTTTCTACATTTTGGATTTTTTAAGTGAATAAAACTGTAAAAAACGATTATTTTATGGCTCGTGCCAAAATATGCAAACTTAAACTACCAATTACATACCATTATGATGTTTTGAAGTGGGGTGATTTCCCTGCCGGTGCACCACTAATTCACTGGTCATATTCACCTACAGAAAAATGAGGAAAGTGTAAATGATGAAAAAAATAAAATAAAATAAAATCTTGCGGAACTGTTACCTTCATAAATTGTATTTGTAACAAATGATCATAAATATAAGTTATAGGAGAAATTATTTAATAATATTGCTACATAATCTTAGTGAAAAGAAACAGTACAACAAATTGTGAAACAAATCGTAACAATAAGGAGAAATGAATGAATACATGGGAAAACTTTAATGATATGCACTTACCGAGGAGGGCCAAACAAAGAAACTTGCAATCATAATTGATGTTTCTTTTATTGATGTAGCTATCAACAGAGGATGCCCACTGTTCGGATCACACAATCAATCAATATTTTTACAATCACAATGCACTCAGTGCATCAGTCTAATATATTAGGCACAGTGTACAAAAAGACAACGAAAACCAAATGCTATGTTCATCTTATTACAAAAAAGGTGTCTGAATCGATACAACCAATGTGGCTCGTTTGTAAAAAGTAGCACCTACATTTAAATATTTTATATATTTAATTATAATCATCTAAAAAATATTTACAAAATTTGGTGAGCGGGAATTCGAGGTTCAAGTCTAAACATAGCATTCGCGGGTTTTCTCAGCCTCGCTTTAAACTATTCATTTTTTAACAAATATCTTAATAAAAACTGCACATAGTTCATTTCCTACAAGATTACAAAATTGAAAAACATTAGTAAAACTGTAACATATACAAACAAACTTGTCACTGTCCGTCAAGAAACGAAACTTTTAGCCAATTTGTTTATTTGTCCTGTAGCTCTATTATCACTTTCACAGCTTCAGAGTGTTCGGATAGTAGTAGTTGGTTTTAAAATTTCTTCTTCGTGGATCTTCGGCACGACTCTTCGACGTTTCGCAGCTGATTTTCAAAATTAGTCCGGATAAATCAACACTTTTAATTAATTCAACTACCTCGCAACGTTCTTCTAGTTATATATTACAATTTAATTTATTAAAGAGTCCACTCGACAGTAAAATCAAATGAGCACTGCACTACTATATACTTTTTTGATTGCATTTCAGCCCGATCCGAAGAGTGGGGGCCACTAGTTTGTTACTCTTTTATTTATACAACTATATTACTAGAATCCATATACCTTTTTAGTTAAAGTCGATATTTAAAAATTCAATTCAAAACCCACATGAATAAATTAATTGGAAATTTTTTTCTGGCTTTTTTGGTTTTTCTTTAAAATAGCAACACCACATAGACCCAGGTGATTCACTGAAACTTTTTTCTTAGGCAAATACACATCAATTAACTTAACCGGTCATTATTATCTCATTGAAAGCAACATGATATAAGCAAATTATGTAGAAAAATTATACAGGGAAGGGAGGGGGGCGTCTAAACTAGAGCAATGCTGAAACCATCAGTACGGATTAACTAATCTTGATACCGTCTATGTGAAGTATATGAAATAACAAGCTAGTAATAGATTATAACACTACAGTAAAGAGCAGCCATAACAATGTGTTATTTTTCTTTATTCTTTTATATTATCATCGATTTTTGCTTTAATTGCGCCCGCCTCGGCCCCCGCGACCCCGACTGTTGTCTCCGCGGTCCTGCAACAAAAAAAAACACCAATAAATCGTTTTTCCTGCGATAATAATACGTCAAAAAATAAAAAATTCGGCGATAACAACCGGATAAAGATAACACCTTGCAATGTGCGAAATCTAATCGTGTGCGTCTAACACCATGAAATCCATCAAAAATTTATTCTCTCTGAGACGCCACAAATCCGACGATGACCTCGCAAAGCCCCAACGAAGGGCCCTCTCCGCCGGCAGTCTCACAACCTTGACAAACATAGTTTTAGCAAGAAAATTCAAATCAGTGTCGTTAATTAAAGTGAACAGTGACGAATCCTTAACGGATTCACCAATCGGTGCAATTCGATTAAAAACAAACGACGAATTTCACGTAAAACCTGAAAAAAAATTAAAACGGCCGAGACAACGTGACGACATTTGTGACAATGTTTTAAAAAAACAAAAACATGATTTGAATCAAAATGAAACTCCACATGAAAGTGTCATTTTGAAATTAGACAAAAACGAAACGATCGGACTTGAAATCCACCCGAAATGGACCTTTGCTTCAAACCAAATCACAGGTTACTACATTTCGCAAATTGTACCAGACTCAGCCGCCGCCAAAAACGGTAATTTTCAAATCGGTGACGAAATTATCGCGATAAATGGCCAAAAATTGACCCAAACTGGACCCACTCTGTCGCTAAACAATTTTTTAAACCCCGACAAGACTATAGAAATTCTGATTTCGCGAAAAACTATAAACAATGACGTGTTTAAATTACCCACAGTCACTGGAATGCGAAAATTCACCGGCCCCGAAGCAGTCCAAATCCGAAGACGTCGCAATTCGTACTACACCGAAAAATACTGCAGTGTCACCGGCCAATTGTCTTTTTCCGTGAGGTTTTGCAAAGGCCCCGGTTTGAAATCGCTGGGTTTTTCTATCGTTGGTGGAAAAGATTCTCCCAAGGGAACGATGGGAATTTACGTAAAAACGATTTTTGAACAGGGACAAGCTGCAGAATTGGGTGTTTTGCGGGAAGGCGACCAAATTATCTCGGTTAATAATCGACCAATGAAAGGATTGACTCACAGTGAGGCAGTCGAAGTGTTTAAAAATATCAAATCTGGATATGTTTTTGTCGAAGCCGTACGAAAAGATGGATCTAAATTTAGAAACTCATTTTAGGAATTTTGTCTTTTCCAATTAATAAAGTTTGTTGAATACATAGTAGTATTCTTTTAATTTTTCCCGTTTATCGTAAAACTGTGTCAAATAACACAATCCCATGCGCTACTAGTTTTGTCTTTGTTGTTATTATTCGAATGAGTGAGACAAAATACAAATAAAATAGGAGGGACCACCAGTCGTTCTCAAACTATGAGACGCGACTAAGCTAAAACTTATTATTATTATTTTAATAAATTAATAAGTCTTGTATGTTTTCAAGCAAAACAAAATGTTAACAGTCTGTTTATTTTATTAAACATCCATTCATTAATTGTCAATTTCTCTTGCTGCATTTTTTAACCTATTGAGAATCACTGTTATGTTTTGGTTGAGTGAAGTAGATAGGCGTGCTAAAGTTTGCTGTCTCTTTTAAACGACCTATAGTTTATTTTTTTTTTTAAGAACGAAGGGACTAAAATTGGCAAATCAGGTTACTCTATTTTGCACCACGTGACAAGCTTTATTTACATTAAACTACAGTGCGATCAAAAAGTCTTTCTATCAAGTAGGCGTCCTAGTTGAGGACGTATGTTGCATGGCAGTTCGTATGTTATCTAGATGTCAAAAAATTATTTTATAAAAATTAAAACGTTGGGCTAATTAAATTGAATTATTATAAGAAAAAATGAGATCTTGTTGGTGTTTATTCATAAAAATCGTTCATCACGGTTTCCTGTCATAATTTACATAAAAAATATTTTGACATTTCTTATTTGTCATTGTGACATTTTATCTTCCACAGACATACGTTTTAAATTTCTACGCTTGCTTGATAGACAGACTTTTTGATTTCACTGTATAATTACCAAATAATTTTAAAAAATCTCTAATTTTTGACATTATTTTTGAAATATGTCATAATTTTTTAAGTTAAAGTGTTGTTTGTTGGTGCATGATTTCAGCATTTTGGTGTAGTATAATGGCAGAACAACAACCTGATTCTATTGTAAAAAAAATTCTAGGGGAAAGCCAGTTAGTAGTGAAAATAATGATACATAATATCTACGCGAAATTTATTTTTTTATTTATTTTTCTTGAGTGGGAATTAGAAACAGGAGATGTTTCGACCGAGAACGATGTCCTTACTGATTACGTAGGTACCTAATTCAAATCGATGGTGTCTTTTTCCACTGAATAAATTGTGGATTATTACCTTCGACCACTTCTAATGAATGAAAGATTTCATTGCATTTTTAACAAAGGATTAGATTGTTGTTTAGGTATTATGTATTCCAAAAAAAAATTTAAGAGTCCTTTTTTATGTTCTTGTTTTATTTTTAAGTAAACGTAAGATTCATCGAATGTTGTTCTTGTTCTTAATTGAATTTGTAGACACTAATTTAGAATAAAATGCCAAAAAACAAATAACATTGAAATTTTCTTCGTTTTTAAAATTACCCCTCCACAATAGGCAATCAATTTTACACAATTCTAAGAATTGTATTGTGTAAATGGGGCCGATGCTGATGCCACCTACTTCGTTCTAAAAAAAAACACACTTTAAGTACAAGAAAGACAATATATCACTGGTGGCACCAGAGAGCGGCATAACGTTTATCATACTTGCTCCTACCTACTTACTTGAAGAGTGAGAGAGACAACAAAGTTTATGACATTCGGGTAAAATTAAAAGAATTCTTCTATACCACTGAACTCGTATTAATAGAAATGCCTCTGGAATTGGTTTGTTTGTAACACACATAACCTCTGCAAGTGTTTACAAGAGAGAAGGCTTGTGATTGGTCGATTCCTATTGTTTTTGACAGTCGACAGCTGTCACATTTTCTGACAGTAATTTTTCCAATTTTTAAGTGTGTTTTGTACTTTTTTTACAATAAAACGCTATGGTTAATTCTTATGTAGTGTGCAGAATCTGCTAAATCTTCGATTTCTTTCCACAAGTAAGTAAACTCACAATTTGTAAACAATACATAGGCGTAGAATGAGGTTTATAAGGAGCAAATTTTTGCCATGAATTATAGCTTTGAAATTTTTAAATTTAGTTTTGTTTTATTATAATTTTTCACGAAAGATGTATATTACTTGCAATTTTACATTTGTTTTTTATAGGTTGCCCTCGGGTGAAACTTTGAGACGTAAGTGAATCAATGCTTTGGGATTAGGAGATTTCGTTTTTACCAAATATACATATATTTGCTCAAAACCTTTTTTTTTTTATATAATAAATGTATTTCCTAATTTAATTACGTCCTAATAAACGTCTCCTTTTTTAATTACATTTCTATTAATACGAGTTCAGTGTTCTATACCATCACTTACTTTATGATGTCCCCCATGATGGTCGTTGTTCCGATGCCCCCCTTGCCTGTGATTATCCCTATCCTGATCCCTATCGTGATTCCTCCCGCCTCTGTGCTCTCCCCTATCCTTATGATCCCTATTCCCATGTCCTGCCATGTCGTGGTTGTCCTTGTGCGGCTGTTTCCTACTATCCTCCTCCTCTTGTCTCTTTTCGTAGTGCACGAAATCGTCAAAGATCGACGTCGAATGCCGATACGAATGCATAATCCTCAACACTTGCAATCCTTTCGCGTGGGGCACCTCTTGCGTATCCCTCGAGTTCGTCACCGGCTTATTCTCGTTGTTTTCTAAACGGATATGACGCAGTTGCACATTCGGAACGTCCTTAACGTAGATCCAACGCACTTTGAACTGACCCTTCCACTTGTCCTGCGACCACACTGAGCTGTTCGCGTTGTAGTCTACAGGCGACACCATCTGTGCCATGCCACAGAAATGTCCCGAACCGTTCACAGAAAAAAACAAATAGATCGCACCGTGTGCTTCACGTTCGCGATACGCCTGATCCAGTCTCTTGTTGCCGTGTTCGGTGCTGCACCAGATCTCGTATTTGATACTTCTGTGGATGTCGTCCTCCGAATACGATTTTATTACGAAGAAGCGAGCATTCGGCGCGGTCAAATCAAATTCACTCGGATTGTAGTTGTTCTTGCCGCGGAGCTCGTCCAGAACGGGGTGGGTTGGCGCCTGTTGTGGCACCATCATAGGCATGGGGGCACCCGGCGCCGGCATCAAACCCTAAACAGATACACTCACAATAAACAAATTAAAACAACAAAACTACAACACAGGTTGTCCATAAACAACAACAGTTTAATACGATTTGAGCTATTTCCGATTGAATTTTGCTCGATTTCAACCCAGAAATCATTCTAAATTAATTTATTTCAACAATATGATTGCTTAAATCCCAATTTCGGTCAAAATAAAGCAATTTGTGCTATTTTAAATTTTAAATTACAATTTTCTTCAAAAATAAAAAGATTTAAGCTACTTTTAATGAATCTCTGCTCGATTTTAATCCATAAATGATTACAAATCAAAGTATTTCAACAAAATAATTGCTTAGATCGTAGTTTCAACCAAAATAAAGCAATTTGGGCTATTTCCTAACCAAATTTGCTCGATTTTAATCAAGAAATCACTCTGAAACAATGTATTTCAACAAAGTAAATGCTTTAATCCCACTTTTTGGTCAAAATAAAGCAATTTGTGTTATTTCCAATTAATTTGGTTTAATTTTAAATCAGAAATCGTTGTAAATCAATCAAATAGGTACATTCTTTAATTGCAGTCTTTTTTGCTGCATTCTTTGATTTAAGCACTTATTTCGTTGAAATACATTTATCTCCAACAATTTCTAGCTTAAAATTGATCAAAAATAAATTAGAAATAGCTCAAATTGCTTTATTTTGACCAAAAACTGCAATTTAAGCATTTATTTTGAATGACTTCTGGCTTAAAATCAAGCAAAAATTTATTAGAAGTAGCTCAAATCGCTTTATTTTAGTAGAAAATTGTGATTTAAACATTTATTTCGTTGATTACATTGATTTTGTATTTTGTGTTGCATAATACAATTTTCTCGAAAACTTATTCTGTAAAAATTTAGACATATAAGAATGAAAATGCCTCTTGATCAAAGTTATTCTCTTAATTGCCTTATTATTTGTGTAAAAATAAGTTAATATTTTAGAGTTTTAAAAATCAAACGGTTTTTGAGCCAGTGGTTGCAAGTTTTACACTAACAAGAAGTTTTCTTATCGAATTCGCAAATGTGATAAAAATGATTCTGCTTTTTTTTCAAAAAAATTAAATTATTGCAAAATCGATAAGAAAACAAAAATTGTGAACAAGAGAAGCCACAATAAATTCTCATTTAGGTTACTGAAAGAGTAAACAGCCACGAGCATATTCAAGTTCAACAGTTTTTTGATCATCACCAGCGTCAAGCTACAAAAAATGCTTTAGTAAACAATAAAGTCCTAATAAAAATTTCCGATTAAGAAACCAACTCAAGAAAACTTTAAATATCAAGTTCATTTGAAAAAGGAATGGAATAATTGAGGAGCAGACTTTCAAAATACAATTTGTTCACGTTTTTATGAATTGGAATAAACTAAAATTATTTCTTAAAAGAAAAACAGTTTTTGTTCTCTTCTACAAAAATGCAAATTTGGACAAAATACTTTTTGAAAGTCTGCTCCTCAATTATTAAATCGAATATTGATGTAGAAAAAGAATGTTTGCGTTGTCTAAAGTGATTATTATCAACATCTATTAATTAAAATAATAATAAAAAAAACTGCACAAAAATAAAATCCAAAATAGAATATTTCACAACAACAAAAATCATTAGATTTCTATTGGTTGGCTAAATGTCAAGCCTAATCAATAGTCTTAAGTTAAAAGTTAACTCCACTATACTATTCTTTTTTTAATAACAAAAACTAATAAATTAAAATTATAAATCTCCATAAAAATTTTAAAATTGTTGTGAAAAAATTAATTGTATTACTTATATTTTCACATTTAAATAAACAAATTAAAATTGAAATACTGATCTGATAATAAAATATTGACCGAGACAACTTAGTTGAGACACCCGGTATCTTCCAGTAACATTTCTAAATCTCAATACAGATTGAAACAGCGATAAAATAGAATATAAT